ATGCTCAAAGCCGACAGCACGGGACATTGTCACCCCAGTGGAGCATCGTTTGCCCACGTGTCCTCGGCACCAAGACCGCTGCTGAAGGCTACAACTGTTCTGGCCACGGAAGCAAAAATATCCCCCGAAGGTTCTCTTTTTTAAGGGAAAAGAAAATTAAAACTGGAAGCAACTTTCTGTGCCTTAAGAAAGTTTATGTTTTTAGAAGCAAAGAAAAAAATACGATTAAAAATAATGTGTTCTAATAAAGCATAGTGCCCACACACAAAGAAAAAAATAACCACATAATCACAATCCTGAAGGCTCCCTTGAAGGATAATTGCTACGTTGGCTGCAATTTCTCACCCCGACTGGGAGACGAATGTTTGACAGATGAGTCGTGGGTTTAGGGAACTGGGCACCGCAAGGTTAGGCGATCTCTGGCTCTTTGTATCGCCTCTTACGAAAACTTACGACAAGTTCACGAGATGAAGAAGGAAACTAGTCTTTTCTTCAAAATAAATCTTATTTTTAGTGGATTCTCCAATGAGACAAACTGAGACCACAACACAGTCAAATGAGGTATTGAGAGGATGAACGTCATCAAGGCTTCCTTCCGTGCTCGGTGTCTGAGCATCGCCGCTGCCAACTGAGGGTGGCTAATTGGCTCCCCCTGCCTCGCGCTGGGCCCCGCCGGGTAACACTGACTCACTGGTCCATCAGCGGCTAGAAGAAGAAGCGAGGAGCCGTACCTGGCAGCCTTCTCCCCTGCTTCCTTTCCCCACCACACATCTCCTCACAAACATGTGTGTACTGCTCGAAGCACTCAAGTGTTCTGCTGGTATTTCTGTCCACATGGTTTTGGTGAATAGTATATAAAATGATACATTAAATTTCAAACTGTAAATCACAAACAGAAACCCAGACATGGTGCCAATGGAAAGATGTTGTTTTCATGACAAATTTATATGCGTTCTGACACATTAAAAAAAAACTACTGAATCAGTTCTGCGTAAAGTACAGAATAAGATGCAGAGGTATTGCAGAAGACACAAAGTTGTGCACTACAAAGTATGTCTGATGACATTTAGTTTGGGATTTTGAAAATTCTGATTGTATTTAAAAAAGAAAGATTCATGGACGAAGAAATCCAAAGCTGTGTCCACACAGTCGTGTGTTAATTTTTAAATCGGTTTCTACTATTTATGGGGAATAACAGACATTGAATTCTACATATCAAATTCCCCTTTTGAATATCTGCGTAAATTAAGAGGCAAATCTTTCTGGAGGTCAGATCAATTTATAAGCACTCCAAAAGCATAACGAACTTACACCCGTAGGACAAGTCAGTGTAAGTATACATTAATTACCTAGGCACCAAGGTAGGCAGAAAGTCTCAGAAAACATCTTGGATTCAGTGTTTTATCCAGAATTCCAGAAACTGCCCACTGATGTGATCTAAGCAAAAGGAAAGGTGTTGAAATGTTTACCAGTGTTTGTAACAATGTAAAACCAATTAATATTTGTAGGAACACAACATTAAAACAGTAACATGAACTCAAAGGCCAAGGATAGAACCAACTGAGACCATGACTAACATTAATGTGCCTCCACTACGATTTCAAGTTTGTCCAGTAGTTTATTTATACTGTGGTTTCCCGGCCAGCTTTGAGGTTGGGAGCTGAGAACTGTCTCCGCATCCTCGGGGGTGTCACGAACTGGCTACAGTGGCCGGGCTTGTCAGTCTGCTTCTGACAGGGCCCGGCCGCGCCACCCTCGGCCTGTGCTCCGAGGGGCTGCCCCCCGGGGGGGTAACTACAGTAAGCCTGCCGGTGCTGGTGCACGTGGCGCTTGGCCTGGAAAGTCTGCAGGTCGGCGGGGGGCTGCCCGGGATGCGGGGGGAGGGATTCCGAGCAGGGGGAGGCCTGGCAGCGCGTGGTTTTTGGAGGGCCGTTATTGAGAGAATTGCTCCTCCAGCGTAGCTGGGGCGGCTGCGGCTGACTAGTAAGATGCTGCTTGCTCACTTGGATGTGATCTTGACTTCCTGTGCCCTGAGAGCCCCAGGCCGACTGGGGATCCTTAGACGCGGCTCTGCCCGCCTTTCCTTGGCTCTCCTCTTTACTTCCTTTTCTTCCTTCTTCATCCTTCGGAATCCGAAGCTCGATGACCTCATCTTCCGTGATGATGATGTGTGTCCCAGGACTCCAGGAGTTTCTGTGCTTTGGGTTGCTCTTAAACGGGAAGCGGGGCTTCCGGTTCTCAGGAGGGATGAACCGGTGCGGCACGTTCTGCCGGCGCAGCTGCTTCGTTATCTCCTGCTGCTGCAGGTTCTTAAAGCGGATCTGCTCCTGTCTCATCCAGCGCAGCCGCCCCCGGCGAAAAGCCGGGTCCCCGTTCATCAGCTGGGACACTCGCTCTTCTTTGCCCAGCTCTCTGCCGTCTCCTTTGCTGCTCTCATTCTCAGGGCTGCCGCTGACAGCAGCACCCATAGGCTCCTTTGCTTTGTGGTTCCCTTGGCTCTTCTGTTCCTGAGATCCAATCAGCGGCAAGACTTTCTCCATTTTGAGCATTTTATTTCTTAAGACTTTAATCTCCTCATCTTTCATATTATTTTGTTTTTTGACTTCTTGCAAAATATCTTCCAGCTTGTCTATATGGACCTTGAGGTCATCTACATCTGTGATACCCTTACTGCCGGTCATCATGTCTTCGATCTTCTCGTCCCCCACGCCGACGGTATCCCACACATCCCTGGCCACTGCCCTCCACGAGTCCCGCTCATTGGGATCTTTCTTCCCGTACATGGCACACAGCTCTTTCATCTTCACAATGGCCAAGGCCTCAATCTCCTGTCGACTGTGCCGGAAATCGTTGAGAGCCACCTCGTAGCAGATCTCTTTCACGGCCTGGATCTTAAGGTCTGAGATGGTGACCCACTTGGAATCTTTAGTCAGGCGCCTTCTTTGAGGGATCTGATACATTTTAATTGGCTCTCGCTTCTTCCCACTGCTGGGGAGCCCACATTTTTTAACGATTGTTTGTAACTTGCTAGGAGGTAGCTTTTCTCTCAGAGATGTAATCAGTTTCCAGCTCTCTTCACAGGACCTCTTGTCAGAATCGTCCCCGCTATCAGAATCCGCGTCCTTTGGAAAAACAAAATCAAAAAATGGCCCCAAAATAACCAAAATTAAAATGTAAAAAAGAAAATCAAATTGAAGAAAAAGCAAGCAAAAAAAAAAAAAAAAAGCCTTAACCAAGTTTAAAAACCAAAAATAAAAAAACTAAAAGACAAACCAAATCAAAAAACAAAAATGAAAAAAACCTAAATGACGTGGAAGTCCATTAAGACATATGCATATGTCGATTACTATTACTGTTAACGTAAAGATGTTTACTTAGGAGTCCTAATCCCAATTTTCGATGTCTGGCTCAGTGACCAAATTTCTCAGCAGGGCTGACACAGGGAGCGAAGCTCCTGGGCTGAGGCCGCACGGCCACCATCTCAGGAACCAGGAGAACCTCGGCCCCGCACTGCTACCGGTCCATGCAGCCACTGCCCCATTTGCCTTGGTTATTGCTGATGCTTCTTCCAGAATCTCCTTCCCCCGTGAGTGAGCACAGATGTCATACAAGATGTGACAGCAGGCAGATTAACAAAGGTTAGTAAGGCTGAAGGACGCCAAGTTTGTTTAGCTTTACTAAAAAGAGCAGCCCTAGAAAAAGTTAGATGGGAAAGTAGAAAGAGAAGCAAACAGAGATGATGTTAAAAGGGCTAAGAATCCCTGCTAGCAGATCACTCGAGGTGCTTATTAACCACATTCTTTTTCCTGTCAGGCAAAGAAAGGACTCTGAATCTAATCTTTCTAGGAGAAGACAATGGATTTGCTATTTTCTTTTGACATGTTAAATTAATCTACTTCAATTGTATGTTATACTTTGCTACCCAGAGAACAAGGAAGGATAATAAAGAATCCATGTGGTAGATCTGGTTTATTGTTTTCATACACCCAATATCTCACCTCCAAATTTCTGAGAAATAAATTATCAGAACAAAAATTAAGCTTCACAAATATGCTTCCACTTAAACATAAAATCTCCCCAGGTAATGGCATATTTTAATAAACACAATTTAACAGATTTTTTTTTTATCTAGAAAACCCATGGCATTTCTAGTTATTTGAGAAACATACTTTTATAAATTTTCCAATTAACACAAAAATCATACTGTGCACATGTAAAATGGATCCACTTAAAAATGTATCTCTAACTCTTGTCTTTCCAGCTGTCTGTGTAGCATTACCTCTTCCAAAAAAAACTTTACTTAGGCCTAAAGTAGCAATCTAACTTCACAACAACATAGTTTTAAGGGTTAGTTAATAGCCAACTGTTCTTAACTAACACAGGCAAATCTTCTTAATTTGGATCTATATAAAAGAAATGTTGGATTTAGAATTATACATAATAACAAGGCCGGGTGTGGTAATGTATGGTTATAATCCCAGCACCTGGGAGGCTGAGGCAGAAAAATTACCTGGGCCAGTTCAAAGGTAGCCTGAACTACATAGTAAGACCTGATCTCAAAAAAAAAAAAAAAAAAACCAAAAAATATGTAACAGGATAACAGGATTTCCATTCAGAAAATAAAAGTTTCTAGGAAAAGAAAATGTTAAATAGTTTAAAATAATTCAGTAAATATTATTAAAAGGATTCTTGGCTTGGTAACCAAAGATAGCTCTAGCAAAGAATTTAAAAAAAAGGAACTGCAACTAATAAACAGTATCTTGCTTTCTAGACCAAAGATCTAGGCAAAGAAAAACTAGTTTAATAAAATGATGTAATTTGGCTTCTGAATGTGAAGCTACTGCTATGTATCATTTCTACTGGCCTATAAACAAATAGGTCCTGAACCCATTTAATAATCCTCACCTATTTGAGAACTTAACAAAAGCCAATACATAGCTATATTTATAGATTCTTTATATTTTTTCTTTTCATTTTTAGTTTCAGAAAGCAAAATGGGCTGCAGGTGTGGCTCAGTGGTAGAGCGCTTGCCCAGCATGCACAAGGCCCTGGGTTCGAGTCCCAGCACTGCAAAAGGAAAAAGCAGAGTGGCTAATGTCGGTGAAGACGATGTTAACAGACATTAGAGAAAAAGTATGTGAGGAGGTTTGTTTGTTTCAGCAAACATGTACCTACTGAGATCTACAGAACACAAACAAACTCTGATTGTACCCATACAACTGACAGCTATCATTTTTTTTCCCATGATTTTTCTTTCATGATTGCTTAGGAATGAAATGAGTATTATCTAATTTAGGAAATGACAACTATTCTAATCATTGCTTTGATATCAGAGTGGAGAGAAAATTGTATCTTTAAACTGTAAAATAAAATATATATGACAGTCTACATAATTCCAAAAGAACTCAAGTTAAATCAGACAGCCACAGTTTTGTTTTTAAAACAATGTCAAACTGACTCTGTGGAGTATGTTCTCTTTACAGTTCAAGTGTATCACCCTACCACATCATGACCATGATGCTAAAAACTTTATGCAGAGTTTATGTACAAAGATATAAAGTCCTATCTCATGGCAAAAACCCCAAAAGATTTAAAGATATTTAGATTCACTGATTACGAGGTTGGAAAAACCACTTGGGTTTGGCCATTTTACAAATCCCTAAATGAGTCTTCTGTTTTCATTAAATATCAAATGTAAAGTGAGTCTCCTAAAGAGACTCTACACATCTACACAAAGGGAGGGAGAAACTCAAATGCATGATGAAAATGCAAGCATAAAAAAGTAACACGCATCTGGGGAACCCTCATAGAAGCCTGTAAGCCGAAGTCCATTTTTAATGCTAACATTATACAAAAAATATTTATTGAATAATTCCTTTGTATCCTGTTGATCTTTACTCACAGGATATGTTAGATATATATGTATTGGTTGAAGAATATTGGGTCATAAAAATACATTTTTTTTGCTCAGTACTGTTACTGGTAGGTATGTTTTCAGTGAAAGTGCTGAAAATCAGTTTCTTTTAATACCAACAGACTTCAGTGGAATAGACAGCTAGACTTTGGGGGGAGGAAAGAAACTTTCCTGCTGTGCAGAAATGCTCCTGAAACCCTACTATGCTTTCAGATACACAGAGCAAACGACAACCAGAACTTGATTATCTGGGAACTAAGCAGCTTGAAGACAGCTGTTTTCTCTTAATGCCCACCAGTTCTTGGTCATGGACAGGTATCAGGCATCCCTTCCTGCCTCCTTACCCAAAGTGTGGCCATGGACCAGGAACACTGGCATCACCAAATGCTTGTTGGAATGCAGAACTCCAGCCCCCACCCCACCTCCTCACTCAACATATGCCTTTCAACAACTCTCCAAAGGGGCTGAGAAGCACTGCTTTGATGGGCAGACTGTGAAAGCAAGACCCAGGGGAAGCCTCAGACCCCTGACTTGGCAGGTGTCTAAGAGTGGGCAAGATGGCATTACTTTAGCCTTTAGTCTCCTTGGCTATGAACAGGGGTAATGTTACAGGGTCTTACCTACACACCAACTAAGGAGGGCCACTCTAAGGACCAAATAAAACGATGGATGTTAAAGCTCTGTGTAAATTATTAAGCACTACACAAGTATAAGACAGGATTGTTAATAACAGCGCTTAATTACACCTGTCCTCGTTCGAGCTCTCACAGAACATCAGAGGCATGTTGTTAGATTATACTGCATCTTTAAGATAAAAGGCTCCTTCGTGTGTCACAAGCCTTTTAAGCCCTGTCATATGATAGCAAAATCTATTTTCATTAAAGCAATGCCAAGTGGGCCTCAGACAGGGACTATTTGTGACACTGGCATTATCTGTCCCGAACACTTTATCTTTACAAGCCATACTCTTGGGAGGCTTTACTGTCATTTCCGAGACACCAAACTAACTGGTTTAACCTACTGCTCACCCAAGAGCTGAGCCTCCTGGAAAAGGCTACTCTGGCTCAGGCCCTTGACTTTTCTGGCCCATAATGTCACATTCCCTTCTTCTCCAAAGCATAGATAGAGCAGGGTTGTTTAATTTACATGCTGTAATTCATGCTAAAGAAAAAAGCCAGGACCTCAGTTTCCTCTCTAATGTCCCATTATCTTCAAAGACCCTGAATCTCTAAATATGAGACCTTTCTAAACTGTTTCCATGGAATAGCAAATGAATGCCCAGGAGCTTCTTACACCAGGGCTCTGTTCACCAAAGCTGGTCATTTTTAAAAGTGAAAATCTACTAACAGATCAATTTACTTATTCATGAGATTCAGTTTCTATCAACCTTGAAAAGTCAATTAGCATCATAAAATGCTAAAACCATTAGCATTATAGCTGGGGTCCTCAACTGACTTTGCGCCCCAAATCCTTTCTTAGCCCAGCATCAGCAGCTCCCCTCTCCTGTTTGAAGTCAGCGTGTGGCCCCTGCTCCCACTGTTACCACACATGACATTGAGAACCTTATTAAGAATTCAGACTCCATGCAGGGGGACAGAAAAGGATTAACACATGCAACTGTGCAGCAACACTTTTAGACACAGTTTAACTTAAAAAAAAAACTGCCCAGCACAAGAACAATCCCCAAGTCAGCCCAAGAGCAGAGAATTAGTACTATCAGGTGATCAAAACAAAACCAAGGCAAACTCCGTCAAATTCAACATTCAAAGTAATTATCATGAAAAGGACCACCACTGATGCAGATTCAAAAACCACTACCAAGAGGCAAAGGTACCAAAAGAACTCCGCTTCCTCAAAAAACACTTGCTTGTGATACAAATAAAGATTTGACTTTCAGACAGGAGAGGCTTTATGGATAGTTTTTCAGACTACAGCCACCAGGAGAGCCAGGCCTCCACTAAGGAAATGGGAGAGTGGTGTAGGGCACCCGTAAGCCTCGTAAACTCAACTCTGACGGGATGGGGCGGGGGCCACTGCCCTCCCTCCTGTGAGCAGACTCAGGAGAGGCTCCTACCAGTCTCTGCTGCTCCAGCAGAAGATCTGCTTCCTCCTTCTCCTTTTTATAAAGGATCTCCATTTCCTGTAGTCTGCAAAGAAAAAAACGGAATTGTTAAATCGCCAGTGTTCATAAATGCTGTGTGTAAACCGCCACCTGTGCTGCACATGGCTTTGTGCATTACCTTTTTTCCATCTCCTGCTTCATATCGATCCCTTGTTTCTCCAGGAGCTCCCTCTGGGCAAACGTCCAGTCCACAGGCTCCGAGGGGGTCTCAGCGGAAGGAGTCTTCTCCCGCTCAGCCCGGGCTTGCTCCGGGTGGTTAAAACGAAAAACATGGTTTTTACCCATGATGATACGGTTTCCTAGCACAAAACAGAAACAGGATTACAGAATCATTGATTGATCAATTTTTAAATAGTTTTTTCCAGGGGCTGGGGATTTAGCTCAGTGGCATAAGCACCTGTCTTGCAAGCTGGCAGTCGTGAGTTCGATCCCTGGTACCGATAAAAACGAAAAAGACAAAAAAAAAAAAAAAAAATAGTCTTTTCCCCATTATTTCATTCTCGTGAATTTTTGAGACAGCCCAGGTTGGCCACAAACCCCCCCAATCTTCCTGCCTCAGCCTCCTGAGTAGCTGGGATTACAGGCATATGTTATCCCACTCGGCACTAAAGATAATATTCTTTAAGACTAACACATCTGGTTTAATAATTTCATTCCCATAATACAAAAAAGACAGCTTTTCAAGTTTTATAAGAACATATACATTAATGCCAACTGTCGGATCAGCCTTTATACAGAGTCAGAAATTAGCACAAGCCATTTGTACACTGCTGCAAACCTCAAACATCTCCGAGCCTCACCTGAGCGGAGCTGAACAGGCTGGGCTACCCTCTTGCCATTCACGTAGGTTTCTGAGCGCTCACAGGGCTCCAGAGTCACAATAACTGGGGGAACATAAACTCCTGTCATCACCACAGCCCACCAGGGTCACACAAAGGGAAGCATTTTCCTATTGAGTCTCAAGGGAGCTTCAGAGAGTCCTACAACCACACACGTGGCTGAAGTGTCTATCTCTAGAGGGCAGTTCCTCTTTGGGGTACTAGAATGAGTCCAGCATAGGGCTGCCAGGGCCATGCCAAGATGAAACATTTAAATACATGTGACACATCTCAGAAGAAGAATGTGAGAAATACCTGACTGTTTGGTCAATAAAACCGAGCACAGCAAAAATCTCAAGTATGGGACATAAGTAATAACTAGGGCTGAAGATAAAAGCTGGTACAGTATTTTGGTTACAAAAGAATTGTATGCTAAGAAGAAAAGGGAACTAAAGATTGGTTAAGGAAGAATTCTTTGCAAGCCAGCTCCCAAGACACCATTAGACTGTTGTTGTTTTGCTAATAACCTGGGCAAAAATTGAGACTTTTTCTTTCCTTTTAGATAAAAATAACTTTTACTGGGTTAAGACTTGAGGTTCTTCAAATGACCCACTACCCACAGTATTTATCCTTCTCTCTCTTTCTAAAAGATTAGATGATTAACATTCCGGGCCAACTCCAATGCCTGCGTCCTGCTCAGTTCCTGGCAGTGACAAAAGGGCCCCTTTTGTCCATGTTATTTTCATGTAAAGCAGCTGTCCTGTATTTACAACAGCCCAGGTTTCTCCATGTTCAATAACGGACTGTGTGAGAAAGCAGCACGACGGAGACAGGGAACCCCAAGTCTTAGGGTTTCTCGTATTTTAGGAAGCAGAAGCTGCTGGGAAAGCTGCAGCTGGGACTTTCACCTTCGCCGCCGTTGCTCCTCTCGCTCCTGAAGATGCAATGCTCCTCTTTAATGTGGGCCCCGCTCAGCACTATGTCCTGGCGCCGCTCGGCGTCTGCTTGGCCAACCCTGAACACAAGAGCCAGAGTTTCCCAGGGAAATCCCAACACAAAGAGCACTTGCGAACAACGAGCTGCTTTCTCCCAGAGAACGCCCTTTGGCGTGCACAAAGGAGGTAGCGCCTCTTTGTATAGGAAGCTTTTGACAGTACATGCTGTTCTCATACGTGGTCAACCTCCCTCATGAATAGAAGTTACAAAAGGAAGAAAGATTTATTTAGGGTCTTCTGTTAAGTGGCTCCATTTACATAATTTGGAAAGAGCAGAGAAAACAGTTTATAATTATTTCACGCAGGAGAAACAGCAAATGGTTACCAAAAAATTTCAACAATTTTCCTTCAGCTATTTAGTCAGCTAGCAGAAAGAAACATAATATACCTTGTAATTCCATCCTTGATGTAATAAAGTAGGCATTCAGACATCAGTGGGTCTTCATTGAGGTTAACAAGATGTGGGGTCTGAAAAAGATTAGAAATTATCAGCCGGAAGCCAGGCACCGCAGAGCACTGCAGCAGGCACAGGGGCTGTGGGAGACCCAGCTTTGTTAAGGCCCCGCAGGCTCCGGGGCAGGGATTTCACCGGCAGTTACGACTCCACAGGCCGGGAACACACTCTCTTCAGGCCTTCCCAAAGCGCATCAATGCAGCCTATTTAAAAACATGAGTTCTGGGATGAAGAATAGGACCCAACTCTTGATGAGATCCAAGCTTAGCAAGCACAAAGGAAAAATTCAGACATACTAGTTCTTGGGAAGGGTTAATTACAATTTCTGTAAATGCCTGGGCAAAAACCTCAAAATAAAAAAAAGATTTACTTCTCATTGAGCTTTATGAAGAAGACGTCCCCACACCCCCAACATTTCCTTTTATAATTTTCAGTAGTTCTTCCATGGGCCCAGGCATTGACTTTAGTTTACTAGTCTTTAAGGAAATTTTTAAATATTAATATTATTGATATTCAATAATATAAATTTTTTCTAAAAATACTCATCTAATTTTTACGTTTCTAAAATCTTTTTTAAAACCAACCTTCTTCGGTGAAAAGATCCCACTGGAATCCAAAAATAAGTCACATGGTCTTGGAGCCAAAATCTACTCAAGACAATGCCAGCAAATGTGGAAAAAACAAAAGTTATCAGACAAGGGGCTAAAGAAATGGAACTGCCAAGGGGGTCAGGCAGCAGACAGGAGAGATCCTCTGACTCTCCACTAGCTGCCCTGCAGCATAAAGACGCGGCCGGCTGGAGAAAGCCAAAGCCCACCTTGGGCTGCAGCCTTAAGGCCCAAGCAGGGTCCTGACCAACAGAAAGAGAATCTCAGGAACGAGTTCCAACATTGAGTTTGGACATTCCTCTCTGAGCAGGTCTACAGAGCTAAAGCAAGATGAGCAGAAGTAAAACAAGAGAAGCTTTGAAAGCAAAGATCTCAGTATGGCATTCTGCAGTGTTTATATCACAACACGGTCAAGTTATTTAAGGCATATTAAGTATCATAATGTTTTCACAAATTGTTCAAAATATCTCCCCCATAAATTGTGTGCACGTGAGAGTGTGTGTGCTCTGAGTGTGTGTGCTGAGAGCGAACCCAAGGCTCACATACAGTATGGAAGCACTCTATTACTGAGCTGTATCCCAGCCCCTCCCAGACTGTAGTGGTGCACATTATGAAATACCTTCAGACACATGCAAAGCCTCTCTACCAGACCCATACCTACTAAAATCTGTGCAACTGTAAGTAATATATCTGTAAAAATACATGTGTTCTTAAAATAAAAACTATTCAACTGAAAAACACTGATCTTAATATACACATAAAGTAGTATTCTAGTTCTATAATCCGTATCTAAAATGCACTTACATCAATATTTTCTGTTGAAAATAACACAGTGGGATTTATTTTTTAAAATCTGACCATGATAAAAACATGTAACCAAAAGAGTTCTTAGAAAAAGCCCATACTGTACCCAAAGTACCAATTCTGAATTTCATATTGATCTGTAGAACCTAGTCAACACTCCCTGCTCCTCCCACCTTAGAAGAAATCTTGGTTGGGATCTATACACGGATATGCATAAGTCTCCACTGGCTAATTTGAGTTCATGTGAAAGGAAGAACCATTTGTTAGTGGTATAAAATATATGCTTTGCACATCAATATATGTTCTATTATTGCACATAAATATGCAAGAAAAATGTTTTGGTATTGGTTTTCTAGTATTCAAAATAACTAAGTGGTCACTCAATTTTTCAAAAAAGGTATCTTACTATTTTAATTAACTAAAAGGCAACAAACTACAACTATTCTATTACTATAATTCTGTAAATATGAAAGTAACTACTGGAAACATTTAAAAAAAGAAACTGAGGAGTCCAGAAGGCTAAGGACTAGAACTGTTTTACTCAGTACAAGGCTGTAGATAACACAAGCCAGAGAAGTGGTATTTTCCTACACACACCTGCACGGCTGGAATTGGTTTGAAAAGGTTATGAAGCAGGGGTGGGTGGAGGCTTTCTTGAGAAAGAGCAGCACCCTAAAGCAAGATGTGCTTGGTTAGGATGGGAATTTAAGAGAAAGCAATGATGAGATGACTAAAAATGCAAACCGTGGTAAAGACTGCAGATTTACTGCCATAGATATTTTCTTTGTAAACATGACAGACAGGTATTTTAGAAATAGGCTGTTCTTGTACTAGAAGGCTACACTACAAGATAAAATCAGAAACATTTGATGTTAAGCCAAGTATTAAACTAACAGCCAAGGAGAAAAGGCCAGCCTCAAGAGACATGAAGGACCCCAACTGACCAAAACAAGTGTCTCTGTTCTGGGGACCTGGGTGGGGGAGTCCAGGGTTGAGCTCAGGGCTTCATGGATGGCAGGCAAATGCTCTGCCATCATGCTACACACGAGTCCCAAACGGAGCTTCTATTTGGTTGGATTTTATAACTTGGCTTCCTACCTTTTTAGGTGAGAAAACCCCCAGCGTTCCTCCATCTTCCCGAATGGCCACGCCCATCTCAGCCAACAAGGCCTCTCTAGAAGAAAACAAGTACATCAGAGCACCAGCACCAGAACGCCAATTCAATCAGTTCCATACGAACTGGGAGACAAAGCGTTCAAAGCAAAACCAACCAACCATGCGTGTCTAAAGCTGATAATGCAAATGTGGGATACTGTGTTTATCTCATCAAGGGGGAATTATTTTTAAGAGACATAGCACATTTAAAGTAAAGTCAAAAAATAAAACAAAGCATGTTCCCAAGGTAAAGTTTTATGTACCCTGACAAGAGCTTTCCCTCAGGCTGGGATGGGGGCTCAGTGTGGAATGCTACCCTGTCCAGGCTGGAAAGCTGACCCCAGGACACCCTGGCCTAACACACACACACACACACACACACACACACACACACACTCTCTCTCTCTCTCTCTCATCTCTTCTGCCACGGAGATGGACACTAATTTATAAACAACACAAGTAACACAGAAAAAGCAAAGAAGGGGACATTTATTTGCATCTATTTGGAAGAACTATATCTCTAGAACCTTTCCCTAAGAAAGCAATCAGCAAGTAACTTGAGTAAACGAGGCAGTCTATAAATGTGACCTTCTCAAATGTTATTACCCATAATCCACCCTCCTTTTAGTTCAAAAATCCTGATTTAAAATTTTCTAAAATAAACAGTAACTTTTTGGAGTTGTGGGCAGAAAGAAAGCAATGCTGAGGGGCTGAACCCAGGGAGTGCTAAACTAAATTTCCAGTCCTTCTTATTTTAAGACAAGAGGTTACCCAGCTAGTCTCAAATTTATGACTCTCCTGTCTCAGCCTCCTGGTTAACTGGAGTACCAGGTGTGCACCATAGCACCCTGCTAAAAAATATTCTTTTTTTTTTTTTTTTGTCTTTTTCATTTTTATCAGTACCAGGGATCGAACTCACAAATGCCTGCTTGCAACGCAGGCACTTATGCCACTGAGCTAAATTCCCAGCCCCTAAAAAACATTCTTAATGTTTGTTGTATTTACTGTATCAGTACGTTAGAATTCATTTCTGCCTCAACTACAAGGGGGAAAGATAGGATTGACTTCCTAAGTATAAATTTATTCCAGTTGCAACCTAAACTATACCTTTTAACAAAGAAGTTCTTAAAAAAGACAGTAGTCAAAAGGGTGCTTTATCAAAGGCACTCTAGTTTTAGCAAATAAAAAATTGTTTCACTCAGTATTTTGTATTTTTATTGATTCTCAACAACATGTAGTATGGTAATTATTAAGCACAGGATCCCCAGAGAATCTTTAAATATGTGGTTTATTTCACAGTATAAATTCCATGTCACCAGTCCCTAGCCTGGTTGGTCTCTAACTTATGTTTTAGGAGGAGAGGTTCTTTATCTTTAATATCTATTTCATCTTGTCTTACCATAAAAGTAACTCAAATTCCCTAGAAAACTTAGAAACATTCCCAGGTTTTAACGTTCTGACCTCTCCATTCTGATGGCTTCTGTTTTTCGAAGCTTCTCTTCCCAGGTTTCATTCAACTCTGCAATGATCTTCTCCGATTCCTACGGAAGGAAGTTCACCATTAAAGCGGTAGAGTCTTTGAATTTTATGTACCATGTCCAGGAAGGCAAGTAGCAGAAGCTATAGGGAGAAGTCAATAAAGATTTTCAAATAATATATATTGTCAGAACCATAAAAATTAGGCCTAAAATAAGTCAGTCACAGACATTGCAAATCTTCTGAGTCTTCATAAAAATACCTGAACAGTGAGTATGCGGCGAGCACATCTGTGTGTAAGTGGAAGAAAGTAATATCAGCATCCTCAAATATAAGATGCTTTTCCTGACAACCACTCTTGTGAAAGAGTAAAGTTCAGAAGGAAGTCCTTGCTTTCATCTCACAGCAGTGTCACCATTCCTCAACCCCCTCCCTGAACATGATCCAGGGACCAAGACGGTTATAGTATTAAATCCCATGTAACCACTAAGGCAACAATTTACCAGTCACCTACTGAGTGTTTATTACAGTTATAAACATATGAACTAAAATATGATTCCTTGAGGGGTTACTATATACTGTGATTTATTCATTCAACCATTATATGCAGCCCTACTGCATGTGAAGCCCTGCTCCAGGCAACCAGACATTCAATAGGAAGCAAAATTCCTGCCTTGAGACTTCCACTCTAGTGAGGAACCACGATGATGGTCATCAGTGAGTATACAACAACAATGGGCAGTGTTGCCAGTGAAAAATCAAGCAAGGGAAGGAAACAGGACAAGGGAAGCGAGGCGGTCCGCCGAGCAGAGATGGCAGGATAGACATTGCCACCTGGGCAGGGGAAAAGACAGAAAGTGCCTGGAGTCTTCGAGGAATGGCCATGCCCACTGGAGAACTAAGAACGGACATGGGGGCGCAACAGCAGGATAAGGATCTGTGTACTAGGACTGAGGCACTCACAGACGTCTGTCAGGCAGGTGAGCTGGGGAAGTCCCAAAAAGGAGATGAGCATATGGAAAGCAGGAGGAAATGCTCCTCACAAAAAGGAAATCAGAAGTCAGATGATGATAATGGTAATAACAGCAGCGGTGGAAGCAGTCGTAGTGACCAATGAGGAAGTCTACAAAGTACATTACCATATGATTCATCTAACAGGCTAGTGTAAGAAGCCTCCAGGATCTCAAAACACAATTATGTGCAGAGAAAGCACAAGGAATAGTACATCCCAATAGGTCAGGCAGGAACCTTTCCTAAGCACCCAGGAAAGGTGGCTTCCACTGTCCCAGCCTTGATCTTGTACGTCTGTATCTCTAGGTATTTGCAGAACAATGGGTAATACATTATGTTTACATAGCCAACTTCTTCTTGATGAGTCAGTTAAGGAGACACAGCAATCCACAGGGCAAATCAAACATATTTTTTATGAAAAAACTGCAGATTAAAACTGGACATGACAGCTGGGCATGGTGACCTATGCCTGTAATCCCAGCACTTGGGAGACCGAGTCAAGAGGATCATTAACAGTTCGAGACCAGCCTGGGCTACAAAGTGAGCTCAAAGCCAGCCTGTACTGCATAGTGAGATCCTGTCTAAAAAAGTTAAAAAAAAAAATCTGGACATGGTGGCTGTATACATGCAATCCCAGCTCTTAGTGGGCTGAGTCAGGGGGATTACAAATTCAAGAATAGTCTAGGCAGTTTAGGAAGATCCTGTCTCAAAATAAAATTTTTATATATATATAATTCTGTAGTACTGGGGAATTGAACCCAGGGCTCCACATTGAGCTATATCCTAGCCCTTTTTTCATTTTGACTCTGAGTTTGGCTAAAGTGCAGAGGTGAGACTTGAATTGGCAATCCTTCTGCCTCAGCCTCCCAAAGTGCTAGGATTACAAACCTCTGCTACCACACCAGGCTCAAAGTAAAAGTTTGAAAGAGCCTGGATGCAGTTCAGTGGTAATACAGGCTTACCATGTGCAAACCCCTGGGTTTGCAAAAAAACAAAAAACAAAAATATCCATAATTTAGATTTTGATACTCAAAAGAAGTTAGACACTTACTCCATGGGCCATCCCTTGAAGCAGTCAGATAGCTGAAGTTTTACTGTACTAAACATAGTATGCTTCACAAGTGAGTTCCTGTGAGCCCTGAGACTGCTTAGTACAGCTCTTAGCCATGCCTGTACCTGCTGTGGGTATTTGAGGGTATTTATAGGCTAAGACGAAGCAATGGCACTCATAGCACTGACTGTGATGCCAGACTACCTAAACACCAGAACCCTCACCTGGTGGCTGCAGCTGCTACTCAACCCTCACTGAAGCCAGGTGGGGAACACACACCTGTAATCTCAGCATTCAGGAAGGCTAAGGCAAAGGATCAAAAGTTTGAGTCCCATTTGGGGAACTTACCCAAATTTTGTCTCAACACTTAATTTTTTTTTTTTTTTTTTTTTTTAGTTTAAGGGCTGAGGAGCATAGCTCCATGACAGAGCATCCCTAGGTTCAATCCCTCCATACCACAGAGACAAAAGAAGACCCTACCTTACCAAACAGGAAAGCAAAGCAAGGGTACACTTATTTCAAGTGACCCTGCGTTGTGACTTAAAATGAGAAGCAGTTACACAGCACTCTCTTTCCAAAGTATTACAGAGGAATCAAGACATTTATGCTACAGAAGGGAATAGGAGACTCTATGACCAGCATGGGAGCGGCACCCTGCGTAAACTTAGCACCCTAACACCTGACTCACGTCAAAAATGAAGAGAGGCCAAGGGAAACAAACAGGAAGATGAATTCACCCTAGTTTTGTCTTCCACTGTCTCCCAGCAGTGTCATGGCACGCGTGGACGTGGATGTCGTCTGCCTGCAGCCCTGACGGCAGCTCTGTCCACAGCCTTCTCACCATTCTCAGGGCGAGCAGAACTACGGCATCGCGCCTAACACACAACTGCAAAGCTGCCCTTTTCTCTCCAGAATGAAGCCAGGGAAAATGGAAGATTTCATTTATGTTGGCTTAAAGGAGAATTAAAGCAGAGGGATTTATTTGTTGATTAAAATAACAAGATTTTTTGTTTTAATAGGAATTAAGAGAAATGGGAGCAGAGTCTCCCAAATAGCCACACCATTACTCCCTAGAAGCTATCTGGAAGACGTTGGCTGACTTAATTCTTAAAAAGCTTAGTTAACGTCTTAAGTCCTAACATCTAACGTTATTTCTAGTTGCTTCCACCTAGCATTTAGGGAGCTATTTCTCCTTTATACCAGGATGACTGTCAAAAGAGAGGGTAATCTCATCTGTGCATTAAGCTTTGTTAACAAAGAATAAGAATCAAAATCTGCAAAGAAAAACAAAGTAGAAGGTTTCATTTCTCCTTTTCACAGAGCCTCCGAGTTCCAGCCCTGTGTCTACCCAGTGACACGGTCCCTGACACCCATTTGTGACAAAGCTGCTGAATGAAGACACCTTCCCATGCAGGCCTCCACTGAGATCTTTAGAAAACCTCAGGTCAGTTACACCAGCAGCACAGTTTCTCCTGCAGCTTAAAATCTTGAGTAAAAGATTTCTCCCTCCTTCTCCTCCCTTTGCTAGGCACTTCATAACTTTCTTGTCTTCTGAAGGAACAAGATCATTATTTTTGTTTCTGAAGCACCTTCTTTTTGAAGTGAGTAAAATGCCTACGGGACAGGTGGGATGATCAAGAAAGAAAAACTGGAAGCCCATTCTTCTATAAAACTGTTAGCAGCCTCACTTGAGACCAACTGAAAGCACGGGACGTGCAGTGCTCAAGCACAGCTCCCTGGGAGCGGTGCAGAGTGCAGCCGAGCTCCGGGTCACTGCAGGGGTCTCAGCGGACAGCATCAGGTGCTGAAGAGCAAACTTCCTAGGTTCCGAAAAGCCTCCTTTGCTCTCCTCACTTCCCCTGCCCTGGCACTCCCGTCCTGCACACAAAGGCTGGCAGTTACAGACTGCAGGGCATGAGAAAACACTCGATGTCTCTGGTGTTATCCGATGGATGGCAGGCTTCTGGGTAGCACCAGAGTGACACCTGTCTGGTCTTGCTGCAGTCCCTGAGGACAGGGAAGATGCTCCGAGCTGGAAGGCTCTGCCACTCCTGACTTTCACACTCATAGTGAGACCACAGAACCTGTGTGGCTTCCCGCAAGCTGGGAAAGCTTCCACTGGTGAGACCAGCCCGTGTGCACCCACCAGCATCAGATTTGCCTCCTGCAGGCAGCCAGTGTGGGCAGGGAGAAACAGCCAGATACGCCCTGTGCACCCACAGGCCATTGGAGGTGCTTGCTTCCAGTGGGCAGCCAGCATGGGCCAGGAGGACCGCAGAGACACTGCCTTGTGCACTTGCCATCATGGTGGGGGACAGATCCTTGTGTAGTCACACAGGCTGAGAGAGGCAGCAGCCCCACCAGCTGCACATCCTTGGCCATCCAGGATGCCTCAGTGTAGCTACACAGGTCTGGGGAAGCTTTCCCAAAGTTTCACTGCCTCCCTGGGAGTCTGAGTTTAGAAAAACCCCGGTGCCTAACCCATTTCCCTATATTGCAGAGGGGCAGCCAATGTGGGGAGTTTCTGGGAACTGGCTCATGAGGAGGATCCCAGAAAAATGTCAAGACAAAGGAGCAAAAGGCAATCTCAGACCTCCAGCCCACACAGAACAAGTCTGGGAGATACAGTCATGGAAGAAAATGGAAGTCACACACCTGAAATCTCTTGAGAGGATAGCAACTGAAGTAAAGAAACAACTTCTTGAGGCTGTAAAAGTAATCAAATCAGAATAATATCTCAGATAAAAAAGTTACAAATGTAATGAAAGAATTGCTGAGCATACCTAAAGAAGACATAGATTAAAAAAAAGAAGAGCATAGGAAAATGATGGAAAGGAATGAACAATATAGGAAGAAATTACAATTCATGAAACAGATTTAAAGAGATATCCAGGAAATTTAAAACTCCATTGACAGCTGGCAAAACCTCTTGAAATAGAGGGCTGGGGATTTAGCTCAGTGGCATAAGCGCCTGCCTTGCAAGCAGACAGTCATGAGTTCAATCCCTGGTACCGGTAAAAAGGAAAAAGCCAAAAAAAAAAAAAAAAAACCTCTTGAAAGAAAAAAAAAAAAACCCTCTTGAAAGAGACTAAAGGTAAACTTTCAGACCTTGAAGACAGGATTGCAGCGATTGTGAAAGATTTCTTAAAAATAACAAGGAGTCAGGAAATACAATTTAACAGCTGCAAGATGACGCAAAGAAAAATGACTTAAGAGTGATAGGTGTCAGCAAAAAAAAGCAAGAGTCAACACAAATGATATAAAGAGACAATTTAAGAATAGCAGAAAACTTCCCAACATGGGAAAAGGACCTGACATACAGATAAGTGAGGCATATAGAACTCCAACTAGCCATAACCAAAATAAATATATACCAAGAATATATAATAATCAAGATCCCATAAATTCATCACAAGAACAAATTATTAAAGACTGTTAGAGAAAAGAAACAGATCACCTACAAAGGAAAACCAATGAGAATCACAGCAGACTTTTCAACACAAACCATCAAATCAAGAAGAGTTTGGAGTGACGTGTTTCAAATCCTGAAAGAAAACAACTTCCAACCCAGACTGCTGTACCCTGAAAAACTATCATTCACATTGATGGAAAAATAAGGAAACTTATCCTTTCATGATTAGGATCAACTGAAAGAATTCAGGACCATCAAACCAACCCTACAAAGAGTGCTGAAAGATATTGTTGAGAGATAAAGATGATCATGGTTCCAGGAATAGCAGCAGAGGGGAATAACCAAACAGGGCAGGCAACTGAACAAAGGGAGAAAGTTGGGGGCCAACAGCAGGAGGACAGCATGGCAGAGGAACCAATGCATGCTGGTTGTAACCATTAGTGTGGATGCCCTCAATTTAGCAAAAAAAAAAAAAAAAAGGAAAAGAAAAAGGGAGAATGGATCAGGATAGAAGATCCATCAATATGATGTATACAAGAAAAACACCAAACTCAAAAGGAAATTCATAGACCAAAAGTCAAAGGAGAGTAAACAATGTTCCACGTAACAGGAAACCAGAAAAAAGCAGAGGTAGCTTGCCCACCAACCACAGAATGGATAAGAAAGGTATGGTATTTTCATACAATGAGAAGCTACTCGGTATAAAGAAGGATAATCTCAAGGCTCTTGTAGGTGAATGGATGCAACTCGAGAGCCAGCTCACGGGTGACATGGTTCGGGCTCACGCTGAACACCGTGCTGTCTCCTAGTGTAAAACTGAAGGAGTTAGTGGGATCCAAAATGCACAATTGACACTGTGAAACCGATAGGGGAGGAAATTCCTACAAAGGGAAGGTGTAACCATCGTTAATTTCCTATTTTCTTGTTTTGAATTCTTGTATTGTTCACATAGTTTTGTTCAATTTGGTTTTATTCTGTCTTGTTTGATTTTACTGTGTCTGATGGTATGGGCAACTATTTTGAAGATAATGAAATGTATTATGGTGGCCATTGTTGATTTCTTATTATTTGGTTTTGAAGTCCTGTAACATTTTTATTCTTTTGTTTTGACTGGTTTTGTTCTGTCTTGTTTTGTTTGATTTTATTATCTCTGATGGCATGGGCATGGGCATCTACTTTAAAGAAAACAAGAGACATCATGGTACCTACTGTTGAGTTCCTATCTTGTTTTGAAGTTCTGCATCACTTTCGTTGTTCTGTTCTGATTAGCTTTTTTCTGTTTGGTCTGGTTTGGTTTGATTTTACTCTCTTTAAAAAAATCCAAAATTTCACTGGCAAAGCTGGGACCCTGGGTGGGTGACCTGCACACGGCATTGGAACCCATGTGCATCAGCACTACAAGAGGGCAAGAAAGCCCTTCTGCTACTGTAATTAGTGGGCACTGAGGTTTTTGTGAACTTCCGGAAAATAGTAATTTCAGCTGAATTAACTTGATATGGCCTCTCAAATGTTCAAGCTCCATTTTAATTACATATTGTTACTAACAGAAAAATGGTTATTTGAAATTCCACCTTCAAGCTGGGCATGGTGGTGCACATCTGTCATCCCAGGGAATCGGGAGGCTGAGGCAGGAGAATTCAATGTGAGTTCAAGACTAACCTAGTTTACAAAGTGCCCTCAATGCCAGCCTGAACTGCATAGCAAGACCCAATCTCAAAAAAGACAGAGAAAAAGAAAAGAAATTTCTCCTTCAAACAAAACTGTTTCTAACTATTTCATTTAAAACTAAATTTAAAATTGATTTATGTTACCCCAAATTAATGTATGCATCTATTTAGCAGTTACTCTGCAACCATCTTTTTCCGGCCAGGTCCAGCATTTCAGTGAAAAGAAATGAACTTACTAATCGGAAAATTCCTTTTCAGAACACTTCTGAGTTAAAGAGTTCAAAATTTCAGTGATGTTAATCCCACCGAACTCTGCCCGGGCTGCCACACAGAGACCTTGCGTTTAGTGGGGCGAGCACTTACCTTCAGACGCTCGATGGCTTCCTCTCCTCCAGGGGTGGACATGATCCGCTCCTGAATGCTGCTCACAGACGTCAGGCCCACCTGACTACTGAGTGAGCAGGAGGACGGAGATGAAGTAAGGGACCCCATGGACGCTGTGGAGAAATTGCCAGGGCGTTGATTCTCAGAGGCTAGTAAGTATCTATGCTTATTGTTCTGAAAATCTTTCAGATCTGAGAGACAAAGAAAGAAGGGAAGGCAGGAAAAGAAAGAAAGAGGGAAGGAGCAGAGGAAGGAAAAAAGACAGGAAGGAACACCAGTGTGAGAGAGGAGAGCATCACCGCTCCAAGACAAAGACAAGTTCCAAAACAAAGACAAGCTGTCACCGGTCTAGATGGCAGTTCTAAAACACGTCTTTAATGCTGCTGTTCTTCGGGCTAAGAATAAATTCTGAATTTAGAAACTCAGCTTCCAGAGTGGATGAGCGCTGTATGTGGCAAGGAGACCAGAGCCCAGGGGCACTCTAGCTTCTTCCCAGAGTAGCCAATAATGTTTCCCTCCTCTACTGTTCACGCTACCTTCCGACTGGCACTTCTCTAAAATTCTGGGGGTTTGTAACAGTAAGGACAAGACAAAATCATTTATCAGTATTAACCCTATACTGGTCTGGGCCAGGGTTTTATGGAATTAAGCCAAAAATGTCAAGGAAATGTTACAGGTAAAGCAAAACTCAGAGCACTTGGTATTGTCCTTTGAATAGCACATTCCAACATGCCAAAAGACTTCTAAAATATGTCCTAAAAAGAGAGGTAACTGTAGAAATGAGAGAAGGATTCTGTGGAAGTCTGTTTAAGAACTCAGAACTCAATAACTGCCTCAATACGAAAGATGATTTAGCAAACTCATACTTCTTAATGTAGTTTCCCCTCATCTATCATGGCAAAAAAAAAGACATTATTTGCTAACTTAAGCAAACAATAGTACAATCCTAGAAGCACTACCAAGCCTGCTTCCTAGTGATATGCAAGTTTTAGGAACTGAATTTCCCTTGCTAAAGTCTCTAACAGAACTGTAAATTTAATCTTAGTTTTGTCCTTTAAGCCAAGTGTGGTGGCATAATTCCAGCACTCTGGAGGCTGAGGCAGAAAGATTTCTGTAAGTTCCAAACTAGCTTGGGCTACAAAGCAAGTTCAAGGTCGGCCTGAACTGCGTAGTGAGACCCTGTTTGGTTAAAAAGACCAAAAGAAAAACAAAACTTAGTGCAGTTTTGTTGTTGTTTGGTTTTTGGTACAGAGAAGTTTTATTTAAAAATCTACAAACAATGAAATTGATTAATTTGTTTATAGTTCCCTTCTTTAGTCATCCTTCTCAAATGAACACCAGAAGTACATTCCTATTTTTAAGCCAGCGCATTTTATTTATTTGTTTATTTATTTTGTCTTTTTCATTTTTATCGATACCGGGGATCGAACTCACGACCGCCTGCTTGCAAGGCAGGTGCTTATGCTGCTGAACTAAGTCCCCAACCCCCTGTCAGTGCATTTTAAATTTGAGAAAATCTACACTGCTTAAAATGCACATGAAAGTTAAAGATACAGTATAAAGCAATACAAATAATAGAAAAAATATTATTTGGCCTCTCTAGATCTGTTCGTCTTCACTATTTAATTAAAGACAGTTCTTTAAAGCCTGCAGTTGCTTCAAGACAGTTTGAAAACCACCATCTGTAAATGCAGAACATAGGACAATAAGCAGAGGCACACTTTTAAAGGAGGATTGGAACTACACAAAAAATCACCGCGATGGCCATGGCGGCGAAGGTGGGAAGGAGTGGGAGGGGTGGGGTGAGGAGGTCTGGTGGACACATGCAAGCCCTGCAGGAAATTCAGAGTAGATCAAGCAGAAACCAAAAGCACTCAGGGCTGCCTTCCTCTGCAGACGGGAGTTAGAGCTCAGTCATGCACGGTTCTCAGGAAATGCCACGGCTGCTCAGAGGTCGGCAACAAGCTGGCAGCAGCGCCTCTGAGCACAAGAGCAAGAGCAAGAAGGCATCTTCTCCACACCAGTGTCATTCCGCTTAGGAAATCTCAGACAGAGCGGTTCCAGTCCAAGAGTCACATGTTTCATTACAGCATTTCCAGATCTGCAGGGCCTAGCTCATCAAAACTGGGCTGTGACTGGGCTCTCCTATGCAGTTCCCTATTGCCTGATACGCCTAACTATAAGGGAAAACAATCATGAATCTTATTCATGCCTCTTAGTGTGATTCCTTTATGAGTGTGATCCTTTACAAAATGTCCTCATTTCAAGCAAATACTTTACACACTTTCGTTTTTAAATCTTAGCGCCTTTACAAGAAGAGGGGGAAATGTTTAGCTAACCATCCAACGAGCTGAGGCCTAATACATGGAGGAAACCAGCTCAGCATCAGCAGACGGAGGGCTAACCTGACACGCACAGCGCCTCCCTCCATCACAGGCAGTCTGGCCAACTGGAAATGACTCTGTTAATTATACAACAAAGGCTTGTGTTTACAAAGTTTACTGAAAGTGATTTTTCTATTAAATAAACAGACCATGAAGGGAACAACTACAGGGGCAAGTAAAAAAGTGGCAGAATAAAAGCAAAGGTTAGGTGCCCGGGAAGCTAACCGCCCGGCTGTGGTAAAGGGGCACCGTAACACACTCCTGTCGCACACTCTGCTGTGAGCGGCAGGACTCAGAGAGGCAGCGACACTCAGGGTTCCTGGCGGAGGCCATGGCACATTAAGAGCACGGACGCCGTGAGCTGCCGTCTCCGCCGCCTTCATCACCTGACAATCTGGGTTTATTTAATCACGAGGGGAAAAACTGAAGCGGGAAAGAAGAAATTCTTCAGTCTTTCAACTTTAATCAAACAAACTGAAATTCTTCAGAGGTCACTTTGCTAAATGGACAAGGGCAAAAACAGGAGAAATACTGCAGCATGCTCTGTCTGGGATTTCCCTGTTAGCACTGCTGGCATGCAAAGCTTATTTTAAGGCTGAGCCGGCAGAGGCAGATCACCAAGTCAGCGTACTGGAATAACCAATACATGGAATACACACATTTGCCTCCACTTCCAGAGTAATCATCGATCAATGGATCAACTGGAGGTAAGCAGGAGGGAAAACACGACAAGGGTCAGAGTTCACATTCAGCAGTGACACGGAGAGGGAACACAGCAGTATTTGGTATTTGGCATTGGGTAAAGTTAATAACTAAAGCTCTAAAAATCAGTAAGAACTAAACTACAAGAAGCCTTGAAAATCTATTAGAATGTTAAAGGGTAACACTGATCTTACACTCAAAATTCATAGCCAGGTATGTTAGTACAGGCCTATAATCCCAGATCCTCTGGAGGCTGAGACAGGAGGATTGACAGATTTAAGGCCAGTCTGGGAAACTTAGTGAGATCCTGTCACCCACAACCCACCCCCCCAAAGTCTTGGGTGGGTGTAAGAACACAGCTCAGCAGAAGAACACTTGCTTGCCTAGGGGGACTGCAGCTCTGGGTCAATGCTGAATAATTACGGAATAATTCCAATGGATTATTCCATTATTGAATAATCAATAACCCTGATTATTGTCTATCTAAATAATCTAGTTTATTCACTTCTTTAATAATTTATTTATTTCTTGGTGGCACTGGAGAGTGAACCCAGAGCCTTGAGCATGCCTGGCAGGTACTCTCCCGCTGAGCTCTCACTAAGCTGCCCCGGGTGGCTCCCACTTGTGAGTCTTCTGTCTCAGCTGAGTGCTGGGGTCACAGCTGACTGGAGTTACCACTGCCCAGGTTAACAGAACTTTGGGCCAGCCATTATACAGGCACATCAGGGACAGTTTTAAGAGATGCACTGTAAAACAATAACTGTAAAATAATACTTCCTAGATGTCTCGCTCTGGAACTTGAGGAAATGGGCTTTTTCCTTCATAAGTTCATAAGGAGCAGGGCCGTTTAAAGGTGACTTCCCTGAAAACAGACTTGAAGGGTAGATTACTTACACATGCATTACTGCCACCACACTAATGCAGAAAAGCCCATGAAACAGAAGTTCCAGGTTACACTTTTATGAAGGTTTTTTTCAGTTAACATTAAAAAAAAAATTCTTGGGGCTGAGGATTTAGCTCAGCGGCATAAGCACCTGCCTTGCAAGCAGGCGGTCATCAATTTAATCCTTGGTACTGACAAAAAGGAAAAAGACAAAAATTCTTGATGACCTGGTACATACTAGAGAAATGCCAAAATCATTTGCACTTGCTTTGTTACATTTTGAAATGGTCCTTGCTGTGTTTCCTAGGCTAGCCTAAACCCTTTAGTTCAAGCAATCCTGCCTCTCTAGTAAATAGGATTAATAGGCACACACTACCATGCCTGGGTTTCACTAGGGTTTGTTGTTGGGTTTTTTTTTTTTTTTTTTTTTTTTGGTCTTTTTTCTTTTTATCGGTACCGGGGATCGAACTCACGACTGCCTGCTTGCAAGGCAGGCGCTTATGCCACTGAGCTAAATCCCCAGCCCCTTCACTAGGGTTTTTAAGAAAAAAAAACAAACATTCTGACAACTATCTAGCTTCATCAAGGTTTTTTTTTTTTTTTTTGGTAAGATGAGGTCTAACTAAGTAGTCCAAGATGGCCTTGAACTTGCGGTGAGTTTCTTGCCTCAGCCTTCCAAGTGTTAGGATTACAGGAATGTGCCACCACGCCCAGCTAAATTCCTTAAATTTTAGGTGTATTGTAATTATAAGAACCTGATGAGGAAGATTAGATTTGTGCTGTTCTTAATTCACTTACTATCAATAATGTCCCCCAGCCCCTGGGCACGAAGAAGGTCCTTCAGCCGCGTCACCTCCTCCTTTAGCTCCCGAACCAGTTTGGCGTTGGGGTCTTCATTGATGACGGCATTACACTTAATCTGCTTTGCACGATCTGCGTATCTAAGTTGAAAAAGTCATTCTTGCCATTTCCCAGGTAATTTTTTTCTCATAAATAACATACTATTATTTCTAAATCAAACATTTGAATACTTACACATTTTATGAGCTTTAATAATATATTTATATAAAGCTTTGTAGTCTTATAAAGATGAGGGGAGAAGCTCAGATGAACTGAAGTGATTTGCCCAAGATCACAACAGAAATGAACACCAGCAAGGTCTCAAAACTGGACAGTACAGGCCAGGGATTTAGCTCAGTGGTGTAAGCGCCTGCCTGGCAAGCGCAAGGTCCTGAGTTAGATTCCTAGTACCGCAAAAAAAAAAAAAAAAACTAGACAGTATTTTTTTGCTATATCAAAACTACATGGGAGAAGCCGGGCATGGTGGTGCACACCTGTAATCCCAGCACTCTGGAGGCTGAGCACTGCTGAGCATTCAAGGCCGGCCTGGGCTACGTAGTGAGTCCAAGGCCAGCCTGGATTACACAGTGACTGTCTCAAAAACCAAAAAAACTACATGGGACAAGGAAGAGAATTCCAGATTAAAGTACAGAATCTATTAACATACAAAAATATTCTCCTAGCAAACATCCTGGTAAGTTTTGTTAATGCTACATGTACTCTAATTGTTTTATTTCATATAACTTTATTGCTTCTAAAAAAGACAAATTTTGTGCTCACAAGACAATACTTCTTAAAGAAACAATTATAGTAAAATTTCATTATTATTTGACAATCTCATATGTGCAATTTGAACATCTTCCCCATGAAAAAGTTCCTGTCTATCCCAATAAAATTGCAAGCCCTAAAAAGGTAAATTCCATTACAATAAAGCTCATTTCCTTCATGTTTTCCCTGTAAGAAAAACAATCTAAATGACCATCCACTCAGCAGAGAAAAGGTCCTTGTGATAGCAACGTGGTGTGGGGCTAGGAGCAGAGAGATACCTCAGGGTGCTCAGAGTTTCATCGTAGTTGATGTCTGCTGGGCTCAGTGCAGCAACCATTGCAGTCCGAGAATTACCACCTAAGAAAGCGAGTCACAAATATCTCAAAATTTCATTTGAGAAAGTTTTATTGAATGCATTAAATCTTTTTTTCCAAATGCATTTTATTTCAAGGAGAAAAAGAAAAAAACTAAAAATTTCAAAACACGTCTCTCAGGGGCAATAATGGTACATACATTGTACACTGTCATTCCCAAATCATTCACCCATTAAATCTTTTTTTTTTTCTTTTTTCTTTTTATCGGTACCAGGGATCAAACTCACAACCACCTGCTTGCAAGGCAGGTGCTTAGGTCGGTGAGCTAAATCCCCAGCCCGCTACCCATTAAATCTTGATAGCATAATTTCCAATGCTAATAGTTCATCAAAAGCTAACAATTTTCTTAAATGACCATACCAGGCAATTCTGGATCTGGATACACTGGACCCAGTTCCTGTGCTCCCTTTCTCTCCTGAACCCACTTCATCAAACCTCAGCCAATCACAGCACTGCTCTTCGCAACTGGATGGCGCCAGCTGGGGACCAGCCCACAGGTTTACTTTCAGCCTCTTCCCTCTATCAGAAACATGTGACATGGCCCATCGCTCCTTCTGGTAGGAAAGTGCACCAGGGCTGGGGATGTGGCTCAGTGGCAGAGCCCTTGCCTTGCACACACAAGGCCCTGGATTCAATTCCCTAGCGTCACCTAAATAAATAAATAAACAACCACACCAAATAAAAGAGCTTTTGGAAGGTCCAAAAGCACCAGCAATAAGCAGGAGTCAAGGCTGGGGCTGAGTCTTTGACCTCAGAGGAACAAGAGGTATTGACGAACTCTGAGGAAGGACCAACAGTTTGAAGCAAGCGTTGAAAGTCAGGAAGTCACAGCTCCACAGTTCATGCCCTGGCCCAAATGAGATGTGGGAGAACACCAGTGTTAAGTGACTGAAACAAGTGAAGTCAGAAAAACGAAGAGGCAAGAAGCACTCAAGCCAGTAGTCACATGAGCATCTACAGACAAACTTTCTCCGTAACAGTCACAGAACAATTAACCACAAAAGATACTCAATACACAGCTTTAAAAAGGTAACTATAAAGTGAACTGAATTTGTTCCAGTAATCAACATACCTAGATTTTCTCGAAGAAGCCAAGTAAGTACAGAATCCCTGTAAGGAATGAAATCAGTTTTCTTCTTTTTCTTACTCTAGAAATTAAAGAAAGAAATATTCTTAGCTTTGTTAAGGCAAAAAAATTCATATAAAATGCAAGCCAGGCTAAAATTCACAAGTATACCAAATTATAGTAGGACTCTAACATTGCTGAAATCTTATCATTTGCAGTTTCAATTCTTCATGACACACAAAGCTCATGCAACTATTCTTTTTGCATTTTATTTTGAAATTTTTATTACACAAAAGCCTAGAGAACAGTATAATGAGCTACTGTATGATACCATGCATCTTCAACTATTATCAATATTTTTGCCGGATATTCAATTATCTTCCGAATGCTTTTATATAGATTCCTGAACCATTCTGGAGCAAGGTGCAGACATCCTGTCCAAATACGTCAGCAAATAAGGACACTGTCTCACAGTACAACCACCAAAGTTAGGCAATTTACAGCAATACAATACTGTCTCCTAACACGCTGTTCAAGTCTTCTCTGGGTATTACTATTTTAAAGCAAATCTGACATCCCGCCTATAAATTCTAAAGGTACATGTGTCTGACAGACAAGAACTATTAACAAATCTGAAAGCCTATCATCACACTTAACAAAATGAACAGCAATTCCCCATTATGCTCTAATACCAGCTCTCAAACTAATGTTTAGAGAGGGGTAAAATACGAATCCTGTGCATGCTGGGTTGGTTATGTAAGAACAAGCTGCTTAGTTAATGAATTTATCTGGAAAACCACAAAATCATCCAGTATTCTGATAGTTTCATTTGTCATAGTTACTAGATATGCAACAGCCTAACTTAATGATCTGTAAAGACTGCTAGGGTGAATTTTCTATATATTTTAAGGATCCATTTATAATGTTGTCTTCATGACCTTTCTCGCTACCACTGGACAAAACAAAAAACACCACTGTAAAGGTAGTGCCGACATGGAAAAAATCATATCCTCCAATGTAAAAATGAATGAAAGCAAGTGTTTTGTAAACAGCCAAGACTTAAATATACGCCAGCTAAATGATGTGTGTGTGATGCCTTAAGAAGCTACTAATGAAAAATAATAAAAAAGAAGACACTAACTCCCTGATTAACAGTGCGATGGGCAGTTTTAGAATCCATTCTTGGAATAATCCAAAGTACAACAAAGGATAATCTGCTTTTCGCAAAAAGACAGACACTCTGAAAAAGAGTACCTGATGGCTAATCTCAGGTTTGTGGCAAAGAAAAGGGAGCAGGTAAGTGACACTGAAATTCCATTTCTTATCACCAACACTGAGCTGGGGATGCAGGGCCCAGGATCTGACCTGCAGCAAGGCAAACAAACCCATCCACACTGTTCTCCTGCACCCCAGCCGCCGATGCCTGCCCCACCAGTGTGGAAGTCACTTCTAGCAGCAGATCTGACTTCAAATTGCACAGAACAAACTCTCTTCACTACAGAATACTTGAGGCCTAAGACTTCAGTTTATCCCTTTACAGTTCCTGAACACAGCTAGAACAGCCCACTTGCCTGCTGTAAGTACTGAAAATGCTATAAAACTTAAAGTATTCAGTCACAATAACCACAAATAGTACTACAGAAATAAGCAGTGTTGGTTTGCTAAAAATGTTCTATTTTCATTTCTGTCAATGTGACGAAATTAAGAAGACATAGTTAAAACCAAAGAAGGTGGGGACAAATTCAAACCTTCCCATTTGAAACTATTCCAGAATTCTGGCCATTTCTTTTCTATTTGCTTTATCATACAATTAATCTCATATAAGTATAAAATGTTCTAATGTGAATACTACCTCCATCTCCAATTCTCCTCATGTGATTCACAACAATTAGGTGCTCTAAATATTATTTGTGCAAGCATACTAATAAGTCCCATAATATTTCAACAGAAATATGGAAGAAAAAATTCTACAGTATTTGGGTAAAGGAAAACAGAAGTACGTTTTCTAGATGAAGTTAAAATTTTAACTTAAAAAGGGGGAGGGGACCCGGGATATGGCTTAGTGGCAGAAGTGCCTGCCTGGCAAGCACAAGGTCGTGAGTTTGATCCCTGGTGCAAAAAAAAAATCCTAACTTAAACTTGATTCTACAGCTTTCACTTTACCTATTGTGTAATCAAAGAATAGGAAAAAAGTTAATGTTTTAAATTTCTCATGACTTTTCATGGAGTGAAACAAGTAAAATAACACATAAAAGTTTAAAAATACATATACCAGGTAAGTGTTGTGGTACACACCTGTAATTCCAGCCCTCAGGAAGCTGAGGCAGGAGGATCTCTGCAAGTTCAAGGCCAGTCTGGGCTACAAAGTGAATGCAAGGCCAACCTGAACTGCACGGCACAACCCTGTGTCTTAATCCTTGCCCCCATCCAAAAAAATATATATATATATGTGTCTATATATATATATTATACATGTATAATTTCAAGAAGCCAGTCATATTTTATAATAGTACCCTTAAGAAATTTAAGATGGTGAACTTTCAAGTGTAAAGAAATAGTCCTATATATCACCAGGACAAACATCGTAAGATAACATAAAACTCTGACTTTCTGTCTCATTTCTGTATTCTTATTTCCTTCTCCAAGCACATCATATTCCTAAACTAATTCTGATGTGAAGTCTCTTGATTTATGATCACCCTCAACAGCCACTCTAAATTCCAGGGCCAGGAAACACATGATGACAGTCTTTTCAAAGTTCCATTCCTGCTTGTGTCTCTATACATCCCCTGGGGACGCGCAACTGTGAGCTGATGTTAAAGCTAGTTTGCCTCTGCCACGCCCCACAGTACCTTGCTGGTGCAGTTATCCTGCAGGCGAAAGCATTTAGAGGAGAGAACAAGGACACTGGGTAAGTCTCCAAATAAACAGTACTTTATTTGAACGGAAGTTATAAATTATGACTTCTCAGAGACAGGTACAAAATACTGTTTTTTTACTGGTTTAAATCAGTATTAATCTAAACAAGAGCACACAATGACTAATAAATACTTCCCTGGCTTCTACACCAAACAGTGAAGATGCTTAGCGCTGGTGCTCTACTGGCAGGCAATGGGGAAGAATCAAACTACATTTTCCTCCATGCGCTGATTGTACATACAGGTGGTCCCGTAAGATCAGTGCAGTGCTGGCAGATCCCTACACCAGAGCAGGCCTTACGTAGCAGCACCGTGTTTGTAGTGAGCTGCTGCAAGGAGAGCCACGCACTGCTGTGGAACAGCGGGCATTGTACACTGATGCGCGGTAATAAGAAGTGGCCTCTACACTGGTGTGTATCTTTATGATGCTGTTTTTCCCCACCTTTAGAGAGGATTTTTTCTACTTACAAAAAATTTTTTTCTGTTCTTTTTCTTTTTTTAACTGTAAGGTGTACCACATCACCCCCGCAGCGGCCCAGCATCCGTGCACTTACCCATCTCTGGGCTGCGTGGCTTCCTCTTGGGCTTGCCTGTGCCTCACCTCTTTTCCCACCACGACCCTGGCAGCAGGGACCCACACCATCACCCATATCTGAGTGCGCTCTACAACGCTCCCACAGCGACAAAGGCATAAGGACACATTTCCCACAATGTGGCCCCCTCATTAAGAGACTCATGACTGTATTTCAAAATATATTACTGGCCCCCAAAGCAATAGCACTCAACAAAGCCAAACTGTTCAAAAGAAATCTCCAAAAGAAACTGCACCCCACCTAGAAATGACTGCACAGAAAAGAGCTACGACCAACACACTTGCGCTGTGTGAAACAGGAAGTAAGGCCCTGAATCAGTCAGACGCGGGTCTCCCCGCACTTCACATTTACGCGCACTCGTCCCTCTACTTGCAGGGCCAAGCCCGCCTACTCTTCCCGCTCCCAGGCCTGGGAAGCGCGCGGAGGAGAAAGGCCCACGGAGGACGGCCTCCCCGGCAAACACACACACGCCCCAGCACACCATCCTGACGGAACAAAGTACAAACTTACCACTTCTGCCAAGGCCGAAATGACTTTCCCCAAAGTTGTAAGAGACTTATTAATATTTGCTCCTTCCTAGAACAAACACCAAACATGAAAGAATTTTAATTTCTCATTCATGTAGAGGATAACACACACAGTAACCTGTCATACGCTAGCATATTGTTTATGACAAGTTCTGAAGCTGCCTTCGGCCCTCAGCTTTTCTTCTTTTCATTTGTCAACCTGCTGGGACCACACAGCTGCCTGCAAGACGCTGCTCTCTGGACCCCACAGCACAGCCTTCTTCCCAGGTGAAACCGCTGTTCATGTTAAACGTGTCTCCACCACACCCCAGGCCGTTCTCACCTCTGGATCTTGTGTACCCTACGCCCTTTAAGGTGGCCCACTTACCCAAATTTGCCTGTTTTCTTTAAATGTAGTTCAGTTCTCACCCTGACCATGACATCTTCCCTAGTTTGTAAATTTTACGTAAAACAAAAAATTTGGTTTTGTGGGTCATATGCTCTCTCAGAACCCTGCCACCGTAGTGCACTGCTAACACATAAGCTAATCACTATAGCTATGTCTCAGTAAAGCTTCACACGTACGAACAGCGCTGGGCTGGATCTGGCCCCTGTTACAGAACACTGAACACTGACTGAGAGGCAGCTTACTTGGTAAAGCAAATACCTTTAATCGGGTTCCTTTGGCACCAGTTGAATCAGCCCGTTCACTTCCGGCTAGATCCACCAGGCTGATTTTACTGACCTGGTAAGGCAACATGGGGACAATTCAAAAACAAGCAAGGGCAGGGGATTTTGTTAAAGATTACAGTACGAAGAAGACTGAAAATATGAACAGTTCTTGAATATGGCTCATGAAGACAAAACCAAGATGTACCCCTGGCAGCTTAAAGGACGTGAAAGGGCAGCCAGGATGGCGGAGCAGGTCAATGGCAGAGCACAAGTCCTGAGTTCGAGGCCTAGCATCATTCAGGGCGATTATCTTGGTTCAGAAGGAGTCACTTGCTGTGGTCTGGAAGTGATTTTGTCCCCCAAAGGTTCATCTACTGGTCCCCAGTGCAGCGATGGTAAGAAGCTGTGGGAGCTTTAAGAGATGGTCCGGGGGAGGTGCTCAGGGGAATGGGGCACAGTTCTCACAGGGCCCGAGCTGTTCTCAAGAGGCCTCTTACACAAGGACAAGGTGGCCCCTACACAGCTTCTCTGGCTTCCTGTCTGATGATGCACTCTCTTCCCTACACGTGCCACTGCCATTGTGATGCCATCTGCCATAAGGCCTCAGCAGAGCCACACTGATGCAGGTGCCATGCCCTGATGTCACCTTTAGAACTATGAGCAAAATAAACTTTGTTTTCCAACACTAGGGATTGAACCCAATGTCTTCACACTAAGCCACAGCCCTGGCTCTTTTTTTACTTACTTTGAGATGGTCCACACTAACTTGCTAAGCTGTCCCAGTTGGGCTCAAACTTGAGATCCTCCTGCCTCAGCTTTCTGTGGTGCTGGAATTACAAGTGTGTGCCACCACACCAAGCTGCCTCTTCTTTTAAAGTTATCCAGACTCAAGTATTTCATTATATTAATAAAAACTGACTAATTCATAACTTTAGAGTACACATGATATATTTTATTACAGCTGTAACATAAAACTATCTAAATCTTATCATCCCATTAAGTAGCATAATAAAATGAAGCTGCACAAAACAGGAACCCTCATACACTGCCGACAGGAATACAAAAAGGTACAATCACTTTGGAAAACTGCAGTTTCTTAGAAAGTTGAACATTGATCTACTATAAGAATCAGTGAAGTGGCCTGGGATTTAGCTCAGTGGCATAAGCACCTGCCTGGCAAGCTCGAGGTCATGAGTCCGATTCCTGATACCAAAAAAAAAAAAGGAATCAATTGGGCTGGGGATATAGCTCAGTGGTACAGCACCTGCCTGGCAAGCGTGAAGTCATATGTGTAGTTCCCGGCACAAAATAAAAAAGAAAAGAAAAAGAAACAGCACAGTCTCAAAGTAGAGCTAGTTACCTAGAAATGTCTCAAGCTTATCCTTTTTTATGGCACAGTAGTATTTCCACTGTATATATTAAAAACAAAACAGGTGTGGTGGCATGTGCTGTAATCCCAGCACATGGGAGGCTGAGGCAGGAGACTGCTATGAGTTCCAGACCAGCCTGGGCCACAAAATGAGTTCAAGGCAGCCTGAACTACATAACAAGACCCTGTCTCCAAAGAGACCAAAAAAAAAACAAAAAAAGTTGAAAAAGAACAGAAGAAATCATCCACTCCTAGGTAGTCACCAAGAAAAATTTTTAAATCTCCATAGAGACTGGTACATAAATGTTCACAGCAGCTTTGTTTATAATATTCAAAAAATAGTTTAAAAACCCATCGACCGATGATTTAATAAACTGCACTGTATCTACTCAATAGAATAATTGTCAGTAATGAAAAGGAACAAACTATCCATACATACAACAAAACAGATGACTCTCTAAGCAGAAGAGGCCTAGCAAAATAGTGCATACCATATGATTCCAAGAACATAAATTCCAGAAAATGTAAAATAACCTACTGTGACAAAAGGTGGATCAGGAGTTGCCTGATTGAGCGGCAAAAGGGACAGAGACACACTGCAAAGGGGCACAATGAAACTTTTTGAGTCACAGAAATTCTCGTTAGTTGGACTGCAGAACCAAAGCTTCACAGGTACAAATAAACATATGTCAAAACTGACCATATTTTACATATATGTACTATAAACAAAAAATATACACATATGCTGTAATTAATTATATACATCAATAAAGTTGCTTCAAAGAAGTTGAGACGAAAGTATCCAAAGAGGGTAATCAAAAGAGCTACTAGACTGAGCTCAACTCAGTGGGAGAATGTTTACTCACAGGCCCAATCTCCAACATCCCCCTCCAAAAAAAGCAAGCAAGCGGGGCTGGGGATTTAGGTCAGCAGCATAAGCACCTGCCTTGCAAGCAGGCAGTCGTAAGTTCGATCTCCGGTACCGATAAAAAGGAAAAAGACAAAAAAAAAGCAAGCAAGCTACGGTTTTGGGATCGACATCATTAACGTCCCTTGGCAGCATTCAGACAAGTACTACTAAGTAATATCGATATTGCTGCCTCTGGCAAAGCAAGTTATTTGATCACCTATATAAAAGAGTTTGTTTTTTGTTTTTGTTTTTTTTTTTTGTCTTTTTATCGGTACCGGGGGTTGAACTCACGACTGCCTGCTTGCTAGGCAGGCACTTTTGCCGCTGAGCTAAATCCCCAGCCCCCGCCTTTTTTTTTTTTTTTTGAGACAGGGTCTGGCTAAGCAGTCCAGGCTGGCCTTGAGCTCACTCTGTAGCCCAGGCTGGTCTTGAACTCGAAACGATCCTCCTGTCTCAGCCTCCCGAGTGCTGGGATTACAGGCATGAACCACCACACCCAGCAAAAGAGTATATTTTTAAAAATAATTTTAAACAAAAAAGTCACAAAGTAAAAGACGATCCCAATTTTAGTGACAATGGTGTAATAAAGTACCCATTTTATGAGGAAAAGGATCTATACTATATAGCTGCTAGGACAACAAATCTAAATTCAGAGTTTGTGATTTCATTACATGCCACTTCAAAATGTAGGAAGAGCAGGGCTTGACACAATTTATTATTAACAGTAACAAAACTGACATTTACTGAGTGGCCACTCTGCCAGACACTATCCCATGTGCTTTACCTATACCTTTTTTTTTTGTTTGTTTGTTTTTGTCTTTTTCGTTTTTATCAGTACCAAGGATCGAACTCATGACCGCCTTCTTGCAAGGCAGGCGCTTATGCCACTGAGCTAAACCCCCAGCCCCTTTACCTATACCTTTTAACATCTCTATGAAGGCATTAGAGGGCTGGGGGTTTAGCTCAGCGGCATAAGCACCTGCCTTGCAAGCAGGCGGTCGTGAGTTCGATCCCCGGTACTGATAAAAATGAAAAAGACAAAAAAAAAAAAAAAACCTGAGTTCCTGAAGGCATTAGAGACAGACAGAGAAACTGAGGCACAAAGAGGTCACACAATTTGCCTGAAGTAACTTAGCTGAAAAGTAGAAGTCAGGACCCAAAGCAAGCAGTCTGATTCCGAAGTCTACAATACTTAACTCCTACACAAAACGGGGCACTAACAAGCATGGGCGCTTGAAGAACACAGAACTGTCATGAAGTTATTGATTTCCAAGAAAAGGACACACTCTGCCTCATCACTCGTGTAAACATCATCAGTGCGCCTCATGCGGTCCGAGCCAGAGAACATGAAGGCCTTCCTCCCCAACGCCGCTACTCAGCTGTTCTGCAGAGTTTATGAGCCCCAAAGTCACTTTCCAAAAAAAGACCATTTTTCTTAACCCTATCTTCTATCTTGTGATTTTATTTTAAGCACCGAACTAAGGTTGAGGGTTTGGCTCAGTGGCCAAGCACTTGCCTCACATGCCTAAGTCCCTGAGTTCAAGCCCCATCACTGCAAAATGAATGAACCCATGCTGGAAACTGGTAGAGGGCGGGAGAAAAACGACCAGCATGAGTCACCCCACAGCACCCTCATTAGTGACAGAGCAGCTCTCCGCCTGTGAAAACGCGGAGTAGTGGATGGACTTCTCAGAACCCCCACCTTCCCACACAGCCCGGCTGCCGTCCTACCTTCTCAGTGGAAAGGTTGGTCTCCGAGTCATGCTTCTTCTGGGTGAAAACGATAGTAAACACCGCGTGGGAACGGCTGCTCGTTTCGTTCATGTTGGTAGCTGCCACTGTCCTAAGTAAACAAAGATGACACGTGACAACGGAACTCTTCCAGGAACGTTCAAGTGGACAGCAGGTTCCACGTGGTAAGCATAACCAAAATAAGCAGCAGCCCGAAACTTATTCACAGACTGTGCGACACACAATAGCTCTGGACGCTCCTGACATGCAGCCCATCAAGTTATCCTCCAGCTCCAAAGGGAGCCCTGGGAATCATTTTTCATCCCCCAGCTATCCCTTTGGGAACCACTGGAGCATTTAATTCTTGTTCTTTATTAGGTGCTCACTTATTCCAGAATCATTTACCACCACAGACTCATACAAACACTATGACCAACAGTTTACCAAGACTTGATAGACCCTAGTGTAAACTTAAAAGTCCCAGCCTGTACAGCAACACACTGTTTTCCTAAGAAAGACCCTCAGTATGCTAAAACCTACAGCTTTCCAGCACAGACACGCAGCCCCAGGAGTCTGCAGTGGAACCAGCAGTCATGGCTATAAATGTGGCCTCGATCCCTTAAGAGGGGACAAAGGGCCTCAAAAGGAGCCAAAGACCTCAGCGACTGACCTGCTTCTTACCATACCTGGCTTTGTTCCCAGCATCCATGAGGTCAGCAATGTCTGTGTAAGAGGTGACTGCCAGCTTCGACAGGTCCTCCACATAGGGTCCAAGAAGCGGGTGTTCACGCACACGCAAGTTACCCTTGTTTTTCGGGTTCAGCAAATCTCGCACTCTCTCACAGTAAATTTCCATGTAGCTCACCTAGAAACGTATTATTAAAGTGAAGTAGAGGGCTCAGAAAAAGAAATCATAAGCAGTAAAAAGAGTTCTACAGAATGTTCATAAATGCTGGGCATACAGGTGTATGCCTTGAATCCTAGTACTCTAGTGGGCTGAAGCAGAAGGACCAGGAGATTGAGGCCAGCCTGGAGTGGAGCATGATCCTGCATCAATAAAACCTAACAAAACATATCCAAAACAATTCTATAAAATGGTCTATGAAGAGTGGTCGGCAGGCTTTATGAAGCAAAATGCCACAGTTCTAGGCCTCGTTAAACCAATATGCACAGATGTCACATCAAGGAGGTGAGAACCAGCCTTCCCACAGTCTTACGAAGAAAAAGGAGGCAAACAGGTTGTCTCTGGAACAAAGTGGCTGCTACTTGTATTTGGCAGAAAAGACTTTTTTTTAAAAGTTAATTCTGTTGGTACATTTTAGGCAAACACAATGATCACATTAATCATGGAGAATTTGTGCCTGTATATGATATACCTTAATTCTTTTTTTCTCACTCCCTACACTCTCTTCAATCCCTATTGCCCTTCTTATTTACCAATGCTTTGTTTCCATTTTTTCCTTCTAGAAAAGGTATTTCAGAAGTTTTAGCTATCAACAGTTTTTTATGAATAGTATTAATCAGTAATTGCAGTTGAGAGTGAGGTTATCCCATTCACTTGGAAGTAAGATTTCCATCAGAGTTAAAATCAAAGCGCGCGCGCACACACACACACACACACACACACACACACACACACCAAAGAACAATATCAGCACTCCAGCACAGAGAAGACAAGAGTCTGGTAACTCTAATTTTTTGTACTGATCACGCTGTCACTAACTGCAGACAATGTATGCACCAGCAACAGAGAGGCTGGATTGCCATTATGGCCTGGAAACTTGTGAATGAAAGGAAACCTCATATAATTACTTCCTGAACTGCTCCATCAGCAGCACTCCGGGACCCCTTATCATGATGGATGGCATCAGGTCATCATTCTTAACCTGACACAATTAACATTTCATTTATTTCATCAACTCTCCTCTGTCATTCTACATTCACCAAACAACCACCGGGTTCCAAACACCAGCCCGTCCCCTGACTAGCACACTGGTCTTGCAAGTGTGAGGGTTCTGGTTTAGGAGACAGATACTCCTCCTAGGAAGGTAACAAACCAACGTGCTTGTTTCATAACGAAGCCAATGAGCTTCACTGAAGAGTGTGCCTTTGAAGGATGGTTTTGTCTGATGTATCATAAAATCAGATTTCTAAGTGTACAAGGCTTGGACCTGGGATACATGCATTACGGCAGGCCACATTACGAAGCCTCTGGCGAGTCAGATCCTCCTGCACCACTGAGCTATTCAGGCTGCCATACAAATGCCCACAGTCTGCAACTTTACATTCTATGCTCACATTTTCAGAACACCTAAAATGTAATCTCGTCTCCATTTCCATCTCTTTTTTCTTTCAATCACTCTCTATGCTTTGATACTGTTTATTAAAGATCAGTTTAAAAATTAATAACCCTGAAAGCTAAGTAATTGACCAATTATGGAAATAAAATAGGATGACACACATTGTTTCTGGTAGCAACGCACCCTAAAAAGTGAGATAATACTTTTAATTATTCTTGTCTACTTAAGACTTGTACATACAATCCTGAATCTCCCAGAGACATGCACACGCACACACATATCTTGGAAGATTTGTCCCTTTTCACACTGTGTGAGACCAAGAGGATTCAACTCACCCATAGCAAAGGGAAAGAGTCTATATAAGTGAATAAAAACAATTGTGAGCCACAATGTAACTAGGCGTACACACAATTTACAAGATGGTCAACCACACTAGTGTCAAAGAAATTCAAATTTAAATAAGAGACATTATAGCTTGTCAAATTAGCAAAGCCTGAAAAATGAAAATACTACATGTTAGCAAGGGCACAATGAGTGCTTACACCCTCCTGGTGGAATTAAAACCTAACTGTAACTGTTTGAAAAGCCATTTGGCAAATCCAAACTGTCATGTAACAATCAAGATGCATACAAAAAACAGTAACTGAAAATAAACAGAATTACGGTCAGAAACTTAAATCCAGTATTACTCATTAAAACCAAAACTCAGAAACAGTCTAAAAGTGGAAAACCCAGGGGACAGGTAAGGGATTTACAGCAGTCGCTGCTGGGAGGGAGCCAGTGCGCGGGGAAGCTGGGGGACGGCAGAGCAGGGACTCAGGCTCAAGCCGCTGAACTCACCTCCACAGAGTAAGACATCTCCTCATTACAGTTGTCATTGATCTTCTCAAAGAGCTCTTCACACAGCTAGAGAGGCAAAACGGGAGAAAGCACAGAAGCCCACGTCAGAGACGTGCCACACTATCCACCCGTGCTACAGGACCAGACAGACCTGGGTCTCTTTCTCTCTCCAGACGCGCACGTCATAACCTTGAGGTATGATTCCTGCTTTGAGTGGAATTTAAGAACTGTGACTACAGCTACACTCTTCTTACCTACGCTCCATTCCCCCTCAACATCACAGCCTCCATACTGTTTCTGCAGGAAGAAAGCCGCATTCAGAGGAAGTGGGAAACGTGCCTGAGTTTTATCACTGGAACCTATGTGAATTCTGTTCTTCGTACTACACCTGAGTAACAACTTTATTAAATGGTGTTTGCACACACGTGTTACTGAAGGAATACACCACTTACTCTATAGTAAGCTGCTTTATATACTGTGAACATATACACTGAGACAAAACTTACACTTTGTGGAGGTAAGTGAAGGCACAGTCAAGAATTTTCATTGTATAAAAACTTCCTTCCTTTTTAGGAGGCCGGGGATTTAGCTCAGTGACATAAGCACCTGCCTAGCAAGCGTGAGGGCGTGAGTTGGATCCCCAGTACTGGAAAAAAACAACAACTTTCTTTTGATCTTATCTCACAACTCCTACCTTTGTGTGAAATGCTATTCTACATGATTGATATTTCAACAGAAAACAATTTTTCTAGGTTAGGAAAATAACAAATTTCATCTTCTCTATCCCTTAAATTTCTTATTAGAATGTGACATTTTAATAAAAATTCTAAATTTTTATTAAAGTAAAATTCTACTTTTTGCTCAGTAAGCCTTTCATAGTAAAGTACTTACTCATTGTAATGATAATTATATATTAAGGTGATATAAATTTTGAAAATGAACTACATGTTCATTGAAGTCTACATGGAATTTTTTTTTTTTTTTTTTTTTTTTTAGACAGGTCTTGCTATGCAATCAGGCTGATCTCGAGCTCACTTTGTAGCTCAGGCTGGTCTCAAACTAGCAACAATCCTCCTGATTAGCCTCCCGAGTGCTAGGATTACAGCACCACCATGCCCAGCTTTCTAAATGGAATTTAAAATGTATTCCAAATGGCAATTTCCAAATAATCATCATTTTTTTCTAAAAAATTGCTTTTGCATTAAAATCAAGTACTCTGAAATTGTATCAGAAAATAAGTACACATGTAATTATACAAGAATTTCAATAATGGTGAATACTTGCGATCCCAGTACTTGGGAAGCTGAGACAAGGTGATCGCCATGAGTTCAAGGCTAGTTTAGGACAGCACAGTGAGTTCAAGGCCAGCCTGGACAACACAGTTTCAAGAAACAAAAACAAAACAGAACAAAAGAACTCCAACAATAAAGAAAAGAAAAGTGAGCCAGGTATGGTGGCACATGCCTATAACCCACCACTCAGGAGGCCAAGGCAGAAAGACAGTTCCGAGTTTGAGGCCAGGCTGGGCTACAGTGAGTTCAAGGTCGGCCTCAGCTACATAATGAGACGGTCTCCAAAAAAGATGCTGAAAATAAGGCACAAATGAAAAGCAGAGGGGCAAAAGTACGTGCCTGTCTCTCAGGGTCCCAGGAGGAGGGTCAGGTATGCTACCACTTGTAAAGCACTTACACCCCATCTTTACAAACAGCACGGGTTATGTATTACTGCACTACCAATCCAATTACTGCTACTACTACATACAAGGAAGGACAATTCCTGAGCTCACGTCTTAATACAAATTATTTTAGTGCACAAGTATTTTTTCCTAAAAATTGCTTATTTTTATTAATAACTAAGCATTTAATCTTTGGCTGGATTTAAAATTATAGTCCAATAACACAGAGAAGCACGTAAGCACTGGACTGGCAAGTGCACGGTCATGAGTTCAATCCTTGATACAAAAAAAAAGGTGCCTTTAAATACTTCTCCTCTTCCAAACAATAAAAGATCAAAAGAAATAACCCAAGTTGTTCTTTAAAAAAAAAAAAAAAATCTCAGACTGTTCAAGTTTAAAGTGATAATATTAAATTAATAACATAAAACAAAAATATCTCTCAATAAGGTCATCAGAACTCAAAAATAAAGTCAGACATCGTAGCACATACCTGTAATCCCATTTCTGGGGAGGCTGAGGCAGGAGGATCACTGCAAGTTCAAGGCCAGCCCAGCTACAAAGTGAGTTTAAGGCCAGCCTGAACTGCATAGTGAAACCTTGTCTCAAAAAAAGACCCAAAAAAAGAAGATTATACAGTAAAACTCTGTCTCAAAAAAACAACCAGACAGGGAAAAAGCCAGGCAGGCATGGGGGCATGCACCTGTAATCCCAACTAAATGGGAGGCTGCGGCAGGACTGGGAGTTTTAAATTAACTTGGGCAACAGACCAAGATCTTGCCTCATTTTTTAAAAAATAAAACTTCACAGTCTCTAAAGGTAATTCACACATGGAATTAAAAAATCTCAAATGAATATTCACTGAGTGTCCTGAGACTCAGACCAGAGCTTTAGGAAGCTGGTATCAGGGCTGAGATGCAGTTCAGGGGCACAGTGCACACATGGCCTGCATGCATGAGATCCTGGCTTACGGGTGCAGGGAGCCGGGGCCCCTAGTCATAGAATAAAATAACATAGCACTGAGGGCGGGGCAAAATCTTCATGAAACATTCATTCTTCCACCTTTAGAGACAGGCATGTGAGGCCAGGCACGGTGGCACATGCTTGGAATCCCAGCTCTCAGGATGCTGAGACAAGAGGGTCACTGCGAGTTGACCTAGAGACTAGCACAGGATACAAAAGGAGTTCAAGGTCAACCTGAGCTGCATGGTGAAACCCTGTCTCAAATAAAAAAAAGACAAGCGTGCGTACATGTCAACCTCTCCCACGTGACCCGAGTTCCTCTGAGGGACAGGTCACCTTTGTGCTCTGCACATCACAGTGCCCAAATACAAGTGCCCAGTAGGGCAATGTAAGAGAAAGTACTTTTACCTGCGGGATGATGCCGGCCTGGCTTTCCTCCTGTTTACCCATCATCGTGTAAGACTTCCCAGCACCCGTCTGCCCGTAGGCAAAAATACAGACATTATAACCCTCGAAGGCGTGCAGAAGCATTTCCTTCCCGATGTCATTGTACACACGGTTTTGAGATGCAAAGCAGGGATCTTCAGGCTGTAAAAGTTCCGAGGAAAAATAAAGGGCATTTTATTTATATTCATTCCTGAACTTACTTCATTACTACCAGGATAAAGGAAAGTGTCTCAAACTAGAAAGGTCTCCTGAACCATACTGTACATTTTCAAAGTGCCCCTCCCACAGATGTGTCACGGCACACATGCTGCCCAGCGGTGGGTGCACACACGCGCACACAGTGCCTTACCCACACAGAACAGCAGCTCCACAAACTCAGCTGCCCCCGGGACCACTCTTCTCACCCTGCGGAGCTCCAACAGCAGCCCCTCCCTTCCCTCTCCAGAAATCCCAGGCCCACACCCCTGCCCTTGCACTTAGGCTCTGTCACCAGGTTTACAGGTCTCACTCTCCAACACAAGGAGGGGTGCACGCTGCAGAGGCGAGAGTTTGGCTACAAACCCCACCAAAGTCAGGGAGCCTGGGGCTCTGCACTGCAGAAGTGTCCCCTGGGGAGCCGTGCTCCTTCTCTTCCGGGGTACTGGCAAGCTCCCCTTTACCCCAGGGACTTGTACTCTGCCAGAGAGTTCCAAGCCCACCTTCTCCTCCTACAATTAAAGCAATTAACTGTGGCCGTTCCAACCTTCCCAGCCATTCTCTCAAACTTTAACTTAAATTAATAATACACTGAACAGTTGTCTAAATTTAGCACTTCAGCCCGGGGTTTAACTGAGCGGCTTAAGTGCCTGCCTGGCAAAGCACGAGGTTGTGAGTTCAATCCCCAGTACCTAAATAAATAAATAAATAAATATGGCATTCCTAAAATCTACAAATACAGTAATGAGAATCCTAAGGTAAGATCTAAATAAATCCTCAGGAGAGGCCGATGAGACTAAATTAGGTTTATATACATTTAGTTTAACAAAGATCAGTTTTATATGTGTGTGTGTTGTAATAAACTTTCCATCAATCAAAATACTTTATTAAGAACACTTTATTCTGGCCAGGCGTAGTGGTGTGTGCCTGTCATTCCAGCACTTGGGAGGCTGAGGCAAGAGGATCGCTGTGAGTTCACGGCCAGCCTGGGCTATACAGGGAGCCCCTATCTCAATAAAACTAACACAAATGATAGCTTATTTTTCAAACAGTATTCACTGTATCAACAAGCGAACTCATGCTAGACCACACTTACAAAGCAACAAGTGGACCTGTTCAGACCCAGAAAAGACAAATACGTAAACAGGAAGGCAAAGTCAAGCAGAAGACTCACCGAGGTATGAGACCAGTAGGAGTAGTCAAAGCTGAAGGACTTTGGTGCTTCCTTTGGGTTCTTTGGGTTAATAATACCTAGAAAATGAAAACGTTTAATTCTGTTAAATCCATCAGCTACAAGTTCTTTAATTCAACATGAAGTCATAGTGCACACTCAAAACATCCAATCAGTATATTCATTCCACCAAGGCTCAATAAAGACTATCAAAAACAGAGGTACTGGAGCTGGGGATTTAGCTCAGCGGCATAAGCCCCTGCCTTGCAAGCAGGCAGTCGTGAGTTCAATTCCTGGTACCGATAAAAAGGAAAAAGACAAAAAAGACAAACAAACAAAAAAAAAAAGAGGTACCACACTTTAAAGAGGAAATTCAAATAGGCAACTTTAAGGAAAATCAGACCGGGCTGGGGATTTAGCCCAGCTGCATAAGCGCCTGCCTTGCAAGCAGGCGGTCGTGAGTTCGATCCCCGGTACCGATAAAAAGGAAAAAGACAAAAAAAAAAAAAAAAAAAAAAAAGAAAAGAAAAATCAGACCAATAACATTCATTGTGTAAGAGTCATGGATTTAGCTCAGCGGCATCAGCGCCTGCCTGGCAAGCGCAAGGTCATGAATTCAAGGTCATGAATTCGATCCCTGGTACCAAAAAACAAACAAACAAAAGAAAAACATTCATTGTGTTTCCAGAATTGAGAACAGAGCCTGGCACACAGCAAATTCTCAGTAAATATTTTGCAGCTGAGAATTTATCTGCCCTAGGTATGTTAACAGTCAAGATTTGGAAATGGACCATGTTGCTATTTCAAGGCATCTCATAAGACTTCAAATATTTCAACACATCCAGTACTGCATTAATCCAACCACAACTGGAAACAAATTCTTTCTAAAGGTCTTGCTGTCTACTTCAGAAAAGCATTTGTTAATGAAGTATTCACTGCAGTCTTATTTCTGAAATCCACAGCTGACAATAACAAATACGTAAGTTATTTCACATATACATGTGTGTATGTAGCTTATGCATGCTCCTACAGTGGAATCACAGACCACTAAATCATCTGTAGAATGTTATAAACAGAAAATTATTTTTGACTGAAGAGCATGAAGTCCCTCCCACTGCCCATCATAAAAGTGATTTCTCATGTAAGCGATCCTGCCATACTATGCTTCGGAGACCCCTGTGAATGCGGAAGCTTAATCTCTTCCCTTCTTTCTCACAAAGCTTTAGCTTCTTGTATTTCGTGTGGAACAAAATCTTTATAACATGTGGTCATGAAATCTCAAAGAGTGGACATCTAAACCAATCCACTTTGCTACAGCAGGGCGATCAGTGAGATCAGGATTAAAAAATAAATCCATCCCAGGCAGCTGCTGCTCAGGACACAAATAGCAACAGTTGCTATGGTGCTTAGTTCTCCCGCTGAATTCCACTGTGTAAGGCACACACTTATGTTCCAACCTCAAATGCTGACAAGAGTATTAATAAGGCTCACATTGCACACAAGCATGTGACAAGGGGACACGTTCTAGAAAGAACATCTCCAACACACAAATGGTAATATAAGCAAAGAAGCACACTTCTAACCAAAGGTACAACACACAAGATTTAAATAACAGTAACACCATGTTCAGGCAGCGATGACTCTTGAGCATAAGGACTTTCTGTTTATTAACCTTTTTACTCTCCCAGCCACACATGAGGCAGATGTTTTCCTCCCCACTCCAGATGCAAAGAGAAGCTAAATCACTTGCCCATGGTTGCAGACCTAGTTAGCTAGCAGCAGACACAGTATCTGCAGCAGGAGCGTTAGGCTCCAGAGTGCACAGACTTAGCCAAGGCATCACCATCTAGGTGCTCATTCTCTATACCACTGGTTGCCATGGCAAGGAGCAGGATGGCATTTTTACACATATATATGTACGTGTATATATGGGTATGGCTACCATCCTAAAATTAAACCACAAACACTGCTTAAAACTCTTTAGAGCCAGGCGTGGTGGCACACATCTCTAATGTCAGCACTCAGGAGGCTGAGGCAATAAGGTCTGTTTAGCTACACAGAAAATTTGAAGCTAACTTGGAATAGACAGCAAGCCACAAATTACCTTGAAATGAAATACTGATATGAAATATTTCCTAATAAAAATTTTAAAACCCCAGAATTTTACAAAGGAAAAGATTCTTCTAAGAATAAAATGTTGATGACAGCATTACTTATCAGAACCCTTTAAAGACTGAACACACTCCAAGCACGGTGGTGCACATCTGTAATTCCAGCCACTGAGAAACTGAGGCAGGAGGCTCGAAGTGAGTTTGAGACCAGCGGGAGCTACACAGTGAGACTTTGTCTCAAAAAAAAAACAAAAGTAAATAAATACCAAACATACCACACTCTTACTTCTATGGACAATTAGTTACTTTTTTCAAATATACCAAAAGAATTTTTCTTTCTGAACTAATAATGCTTAAGTTCCGACTCAGTACCTTTAATCCAGTTCAGAAATAATAAGAGATAGTATGTTATAGAACATAGCACTTGGAGGGGCTAGGGATTTAGCTCAGCGGCATAAGCTCCTGCCTTGCAAGCAGGTGGTTGTGAGTTCTATCCCAGGTACTGATGAAAAAGCCAAAAAAAAGAAAGAATACAGCACTTGGAAAAAATGACCAGTATCAGTACCTGTAGTCTGACATGTCTTTTAATATTCTGCATGCATGAAGAACAAAGAACGAATAGTACACTTAGGTGTTTTCTGTGACTCTGCCTATTACTGTAATTCTGAGTGATTTTAAATTTGAGGTATGGGCTGGAGATGTAGCTCAGCAGCACTGTGCCTGTCTGGCAAGCATGAGGTCATGATTTTGATCACTGTACCAAAGCAAATAAAATAAAATAAAGTTGAGGTAATACCTGGACCAGGAATGGCAAACATTTTAGATATCAAGTGCCAATCTACAACCCCAAATCCACTTGTTTATTGCAAAATGCCAACACTCCCATTAAGCCTGGAGACTGCAGTTTCAGTTTAGAAAAAACAACTACTTTAACCTCTTTTGTTTCAAAAGAAAAACACAGTAACATATGTGCTATAGGTTTACCATCACTGACTTAGGCGTTACAGAATTAAGTAAGTAAAGCACTATACAAATGTTACATTTTTTAAGATAGCATTTTTTAAATCTTGTTTTAAACTCTCTCAATACTTGCTGGTATGAAATGATACTTCAATGGTCTTTAAACCAAAGCAAGAAAATTTTTGTCCACTAATTAAGTAAATGACAGCATAAAATAAGAATGTTACTTCTTGGCAAGAGTCAAAGTAAAACATTCGTGTCCTTTGGTAGCTGTGTGTGAGATCTCTGCTTTGCCTAACAGTCACGAGTCCCTTAAACGCAAAGCACACATCTCACGGCTGCTCCCCATCGGCCTCCACCACGCTGGCACGCAGACAAACCCCTCTGTGTGGGGTATCATTTGAATTTGGCTGAACACTACCATTTTCCAAAGAACAAAAGGCACAATCAGAACAGTGAATGTCTGTGCAACGCAAACATAAAACGTCAGTAGATTTTATCAACTTTCCAGAAAGAGTAGAGAAAAACAGAATTACTGAAAAACTGGGTAAACACACAGTGGGGGGTTGGGTCTGGGGATGGAAGGTGCTTTTGGAGATTGAAGCCAGGGCCTTGTGTTGAGCTAAATCTCTAGCCTTTCACTTTTTAAAATGTTGACTCAGGGTCTCTGAAATCACTGAACAGCCCAGGCTGGGCTTGAACTTATAACCCTCTTACCTCGGCCTTCCCGAGTGCTGAAATCATACCCATGCCTAGTTTAAGCAGTGGTTCTTGTATCAAAGTCAACTGCACTTAAAACATAGTATAGAGCTTCTAATTTATTTCTCAGAAAGCACGCAGGTTAGACTAGGGTTATAGTAATCAACAAATAACCAACATACAAGCCTTATTTTCCCAAGGTTAAAGCTGTTCCCACCACAGCACCCATCTCCACGATGGCGCGCTGCCAGCAAGCAGGCTTCAGCAGGACACATCACCATTTGTCCACAAGAAAGGGATCCAGCCGTACTTTTTTGAGAGCTGGAGTCAGAACGTAACCCTTTTCAGCACTGTGGAGTTTGTACTGCCGCTCTCCTCAAGGCCCCTTTCCCATCTTCTGCACCTGAAGGCTCCTCTGCCTGAGGGTTCCCTGCACATCTGGTACGGTATACCCTGGTGCTGCCCAACCCCACGACTGCCTTTTCACAGACGCTCTTGGAGTGGCCTGAACTTCCTTCTCACCCGTCCACAGCTGATCTGTCCCTCAGCTTCCTTACAGTATGTCCAGCTTCCCAGTGCTCCCCGGTGTGACCCCCCAGTGACAAGATCGCCTGTCTCCTCTGAACACTTGCAGTCTCTCCTAACTGGGGTATGGAAGGTATGTGCACGGCGGAAACACCAGCTGCTAAGAGGACTGACTTCTGCCTGCCCTCTGTTTAATAAACGACTCCTAAGAGAACTGCATCTGGCCTCAGAAACCCTTACGTCCTGGTAAGTGTGTTTTCAGAGGTGAGAGAGAAAAGTCCACGCCTTTATCAAAAGTATTTTGTCTCCTGATTCAAGACTGAACTTTCTCTTACAATTTGATCCAATATTTAATTGTTGAAAGGTAAGCAGACCTTTAACAAATTGACCTTTTCAAGGATTTTACCACTGGAGCAAGTAGAATACTGCAGAGGCTTTATTTCGATCCTGCCCTAAGTGTACAACACTATTATAGGTCCATCTATAACAGGCACATAATAAATACTGCAACCCTCATAATCTTGTATGTAAAGCGAGTGTACTAATAAGACTGTCTAATTTTACAGAACTCTTGTGAGGTTTAAAGGTTAAGCCAGGTCGGTCCAACTGAGGGTCTGCCACAAGGAACATGTTCAGAATACATTCCTGAACAAATGCCCTGAGAGTATCCCATGTTCCAAACCTGGACAATATGTGGTAAAAACAAGTCCTTGCCCTCAGGGAGCTTACATTCTAGTGAAAAAGTCAGATAATTAACAATTAGAGATAATACAATGCTGGGGAAA